GGGCACACAATCTCTCTCACACACACAAGCAACATGACTCTTGCATACACACGTCTGAGAAGCTGCAACAGGTGCATACTGAGATCACTTCCAGCTACAATTTAGTCACATCCGGCTTCTCTCTCAAACTTTCTTTGGACAAGGACATGAGAATCGCAGCATGGCAAGGACAGGACAGCCATGACAGATAATGGTGACTTTTTCTTTGAACTTTCGCTTGTCATTTTTACAGTAGTTTTATCTACATGGAACTGTTCATAATACGCTTTACATTGTTTATTTGACACCATTGTGTGATAGAATAAAATCACACTTAATTTTTTTTATTTCAATGGCTCTTTCATTCATAATCGCCTCAAGACACTAGAAGCAGTATTATATGTGTCTAAAAATCCTGTATCTATCTGTGGATCCATACATATGTTAAAGTCTCCCGCCACTATTAAATATCCCTTTCCAAAGTCCATCAGTCTTCTCATAACCCCTTTCAAAAACATCTCCGGCTTCCTATTAGGGCAATATATGTTTGCAAGCGTACATTCTATGTCCTGTAGTTTACCTTTCAAGAACAAAAACCTCCCCTCCGGGTCCGTCTTTCTATCTTCCAATTCAAACCTAATGTTTTTTGCAAATCCTATAGCTACACCCTTCGCTCTCTTAACTGGGGAATCTGCATAATACCATGTCGGGTGTTTAGCTTAATATTTTTTTTTTAACTCTAGATGTGTTTCCTGCAAAAAGACAACTGAGGCCTCTCTATGTTGTAATTCTCTATATAGTCTAAATCTTTTACCTGGGCAATTTAATCCATTTACATTATGGGTTACAAACCGTATTTCCTCCATATTTTATTTGCCTTCTTCCTATTTTACCATTCCCTTTCTTCTTCCCCTTCCCTATACCTCTTCTTTCATACAAGATGTCAGTTTTAAAACTCTCTCTCCCCAGTCCCACCCCAATTCTCTCCCTCCCCTCCACCCCCCCCCCACTTCCCCTCCCTCCTCTCCCTTGTTTAGGTTTTCCAATTTCCTGTTCATCTTTTGAGCATCCCACCCCTCCATAGATACCCCTCCCCCCTGCCCCCCCTCTCCCGTTAGGCTTTTTGTTTGCCTATGAATCATTTGTGGAAAGAATCCCACTTTTGATTCCAACCTGGGGGCTCGGCTCCGTCCATGTACCGCTCGCCTCCCCCCCCCTCCTCCCCGGTGTCCCTCTATCTATATGCTCTCTATTTTCTCTTCTAACTAGCTGCCATTCCTCTTTTCCCAACATATATGACTCTCCCCTCCTCCTCTTCCCATGCCGGGATCTCTATTCTCTGCAGTTCAAATTTGTTACAGATATCTTTCATATCTTCAGGGGATCTCAAAAATGCTGTGACTCCATCTCTCCAACCGATTAAACATGCTGAACGACCCCATCTATATTGCACATTCTGTTTCTTCAATAATTCCAATAATGGTTTCAATGATCTCTTTCTTCTCAGTGTCTCAGCTGCTATGTCTGCAAAGATTTGAATATTTTTCCCTCCATATTTGATATTTGTTCTTCCTTTAATCTTCTTCCATATCTCATCTTTATCTCTATAATTATGGAATTGGACGATTATATCTCTTGATTTTTCGGGGCCTTTTTCTTGTTGGAACTTTCCTATCCTGTACACTCCATCCAATTTAAACATCTCCGCACCAGATCTATCCATTATGGAGTTCAAAATTTTTCCTGTGGTCTCCTTTAAGTCTTCCCCCTGTAGCAGCTCTGGGACTCCTCTTATTCTAATATTATTTCTCCTATCCCTATTTTCTTGATCCTCCATCATATAAAGCAGTCTTTTCTGTTCCTTCCGAGTATCTATTATCAGTTTTTCTAATTTTGGGATAATTTGGGTGTGGTATTTAACTGTTTCCTCCGTTTCTTCCACTCTAGTTAACAACTGTCCCATTTCTTTCCGAATTATCCCCATCTCTTGCTTTATGGATTTTTCTAAGTTTTTAAACATCTCCGCCGTTTCCTTTTTATTTGGTATTTGCAGTTCTTTTTCAGTTTCGCCCATCTCCATACTTTCCAGTGTTTGTTGGCTATTGTTAACTGATCCCAGGGAAGATCTTAAGCTATTATCTAAGCTTATTTCCAGTTCACTCCTATCACTTATTTCCTGGGATTTCACTGGAGTTAATTTCCCCTGCGACGTGTATTTTTTTATTGTTCCAGTTTGGGAGTTCTTGGACATACTTCCTTTACTATTTTTTCCTTTCATGTCACATATAGGATTTTTAAAGCTTTTTAAGACTCTGGGGTATATACTTAAACTTGTCACTTCTTTCATCCAATCCTTCAGATCCTCTCTGGGAATTCCCTTCTTATTTCTTATGCTGGATATCAGATAATCTGTAACACAGTCTGAAAAGCTATCACTTGGGGGACCAGCAGCTCTCACTCACCCTCCTCTATGGAGCAGCTTCCGAGTTGCAGTTCTGGGTTGCCCTTTCTCCTGCAGCCGTGTCCTCCTCTTCCAGGGAATTCCTTTTCCTCCTCTTCCAGGGAATTCCCTTTTTCCTCCTCTGCTTATACCCCGAGATATCCCTGGAGACAGCACTGCAGTGACTGTCGGCGCTTCCCCTGCCTCGTAGGACGCCAGCCGGTTTCTTCCTTTCCCAGCTGTCCACCGCGGCAGCCCACGTGGTAACGCCACTCCTCCTTGTCACCTGGCAACCCCACGCTCTCTCTGGGATCACCGCAGACAGACCTCAGGAGCATGGCAGGCTCGACTCTCCGCTCCCCGACCGACCGCCGCACCACCGCCGGGATCTCCCCCTTCTCCAGGTTGGTCTCCAGCAGCCCTCCAACACAGCTAGTTAGGCCCTAGGGACACTTTAGGGAGGGTAGGTGGGGGAGGCTATCGGAGAGTTCCTATTCCCCGCTCTCCTGTGCCGCCATGTTCGGGCTCCACCCCCCTCGGGTATTTAGACATTTCCGGTAGGTTTGTAGTTGTGCCATACTCTTTCCGTTTTTGGTTGATGGATTGAACAGTGCTCTGTGAGATGTTCAAACCTTGGGATATTTTTTTTAATAATCTAACCCTGCTTTAACTGGTTCCCACCCGGCCTATGGCTGAATGGCGGCCGGCAAAAACCCTCGTCCCTCCGGGTGGACGCCATATAGTGTCCTTTCAGGTATGCGCAGTTTGCATGCCAGCAGAGCCGCGCAATCTGTCACTGGCCATGTACCTCGGACAGATCTGTGTACCCGCCCTGTTGCCAGTACCATGTGATCTGCTGTGACCAATCACAGCAGGTCACATGACAGTTGTACACAATGGATGGCTTCCTATCATGCCATCCGTTGTATACAAGTGTGGCTAGCTGTGAATGGTCACAGCAATCAGATGCACAAGCTGGGCCAATCACAGCTGTGTCGTGTGATTAGCTGTGGCGAAATCACAGTTAGGGAAAAAAAAAAATCCTGAATGAATCTATTTCATTCAGGAAAATGCTTTAGCAAAGTAATTATTTGCTATAAGCAAATTGTGTAAAAAAAAAAATATAGATCACTTCCCCAAAGTAGTACATGGTTACCATGGTAACATTATACTACTTTGGTCATAGTGAAATATGAAAAAAAAAAAATATCTTCAAAAAAAAAAATGGAATAAAATTTTTTTTTAAAAATATAAATTTTTTCCCCGTACTGTCACCAGTCAGTGTCCCTGATCACCACCATGCCAGTTATATGATGACACTGTACTGCACTGGTGACAGTATGTAAAAAAAAAAAAAAAAATAGTGAAAATCATTTTTTTTATTCATTTCCGAAAAATTATGACAAAAAAATTACAACTTCAGAAAACTCGCCATGCCTGTTATGAAATACGTTGGACTGTCTACTTTGCAAAAAGGGGTCATTTGGGGATATATCTGTACTGTTCTGACATTCTTGGACCTCAAGAAATTAGATTGGCCGTCAGTACTTCAGGATTGATCAATATTCAGATCTATCCCATAGTTTGTGAACTCTATAACTTTCCTACAGACTAAATAATACATCCTAATTTGGGTTATTTTCACCAAAGACATGTAGCAGAATACATCTTGGCCTAAATTTATGAACAATTATTTATTTGCAAACTTTTATAACGCAAAGAAAAACATTTTTTTTTTTCAAAAATTTTGGTCTTATTTTGTTAATTTAGCAAAAAAAAAATAAAAACCCCAGTGGTGATTAAATACCACCAAAAGAAAGCTCTAGTTTTGTGAAGAAAATGATAAAATTTTAGTTTGGGTACAATGTTCTATGACCGCGCAATTGTCATTCAAAGTGGGAGAGTGCTGAAACCTGAAAATTGGCCTGGGCAGGAAGGGGGTAAAAGTGCCCTATATGGAAGTGGTTAAACATCTCCACAACTTTATCCCTGACCAGTCTGGTGTGTTCGTTGGCCTTCATGATGCTGTTTGTTCACTAACAAACCTTTGAGGGCTTCACAGAACAGCTGTATTTATACTGAGATTAAATTCTATTTACTAATTAGGTGACTTCTCTGAAGGCAATTAGATTTTAGCTAGCGGGTATCCGAGTAAAGCGGGATGAATACAAATGTGCGCCACACTTTTCAGATATTTATTTGTAAAAATTTTGAAAAACATTTATCATTTTCCTTCCACTTCCCAATTATGTGCCACTTTGTGTTGGTCTATCACATAAAATCCAAATATAATACATTTACGTTTTTGGTTGTAACATAACAAAATGTGCTGAATATAATACTTTTTCAAGGCACTGTAGTAACTTCTGTGATGCAAATGAATGTAGTATTTGTTTTACAATAAGCCTAAATGTCACTGTGATCTTAAAAATACAAGTTAAAGTAAACATGTTGTGGGAGAAACATAAAAAAGCTTGTATATCAAGTTATAATATGAACTGACCTGATCATTTAAAAACTAGACTGTGCTGCAAACATATGAAATTTGATGTCTCATTGATCATTTTTTTTTTTTCTGTAGTCCATGTGGTGATGGATATGTCACTTTGTTACCTAAAACAACCCAGGGATTTCTGTTGCATCACTGTGGAATCTGAAGAGGTAAGTGCTATAAAGACTTGAACTAAAACCACATACCCTGTTAGAAATGTATACGTTAATTCTAGACAAATTTTGTAATCTGTTACTTCCATTTTTTTATTGTCACTGTGGTCAAAAACGAACAATGATTTGACCAACTAATTATTAGAAAAACCAACAAACTTTCTTATCTTCCTTTCCCAAGATTTTTCCTTCGAAACTCTACCCATCATTGGCCAGCTATAGAGGTTTGTCACAGGTGATATTTCGCTCCACTCCAGCAGGCATCTCATTTTTATTTAATACGTTTAATTGGAAGTTTTAGGTGTGGTTGCCATGCCTTTCACAGTTCCTGTAACAATACTCCTAATTGGTTGCATCGCTTGCACATATTAAGCTGGGTAGCTCTGGTAAATGCAGCATCTTTATGTTGTTTACGTAGATATTAAACAGATGGCATTAAAGGGCTAATTAAATTGAGATGGTGCTGACCTTTTTCTATGATCACTGACCACGCCTGGGGCACTGCTGGTGGAACACATAAAGGTACCCAATTAGATGCATGGATAAGATGGATTGGGGTTTCCTAATCCGTGTGTAAAGGTAATTGTACTGTAGGCAGGACATAGATTGTGATTTTCTATTGTGCATCCATGGGTTGCAGGAAAGTAAATCACTTGATTCCCCCATCCCAGCTGCGAGAACACAATTATTACTGCTAGTGGCTATAGTCTTTGGCAGTAATCGCATTGTAAAAATCTGACATGCTGGTTGTACCCAGTCAGCCTGCCCAGAAATGGATCGAATCTCGGCCTTAGATTTAGTCCATCTATGGCCGCTTTAACCCCCTTCCGCCGCCGGCACCTCCCAGCCCTTTAAGAGTTTCAGACGCTGGGAGGCGGGGCGTGGTTTAGGGATCATGTGACCACCGTGACGCGTCGTCACGGCGATCACATGATCGGAAAAGGTCCTGATCGAAAGAGCGGACCGGGACCTGTCCGTGAGTACCACACATGGGTGCTGGGAGCGCGCAGGGCGCGCGCTCTCAGCACATGTTTTTTGTTACATGAACGCAAATGTGCGGCCGCTCGGCGTCTAGACCCAGATGCCAGGAGGCCGCACATTTATGTGCAGCCGGCATAAAGGGGTTAAAGAAGAACTCTCGTTACACGTCTTTTACACTTCTTTGCCCTTGTAACAAAGTACATGTAATACTTTGTCCCGTGTAGCTATGTGCTTCCCAAATCAAGTTATTATTATACAGTATTTATATAGCGCCAACAGTTTGCTCAGCGCTGTACATTATAATGGGAGACAGTACACGAGACAGTACAGTAACAATACACGAGGAGTTCGAGGGCCCTGCTCTTTGGAGCTTACAATCTAGGAGGGAGGGGATTGTGGTACAGGAGGAAATAGCAATGGGGTATGGAGTGGTGGGAAGAGCGGAGGAGGTCAGCAATTAGGTGAGGGCGGGGTAGGCTTCTCTGAAGAGGTGGGTTTTCAGGGTGCGCCTAAAGGGGAGGAGGGTAGGTGACAGTCTGATGGATTGGGGTAGTGAGTTCCAGAGGATGGGGGAAGCCCTGGAGACGGGCATGGGAGGAGGAGACAAGAGAACTGGAGAGTAGGTGGTTTTGTGAGGAGCAGAGTGCGCGTTTTGGGTGGTAGATGGATATCAGGTCGATGATGTAGTTTGGGGCAGTGTTATGAACAGCTTTGTACATCAATGTTAATATTTTGAATTTTATGCGTTGGGCAATCGGAAGCCAGTGGATATGAGGTTGGACCTGCCCCCATTGGCAGAGCAGACAGCAGCTTGGAAGGAGACTCATCATAATGGAAGCCTGTCTTGGCTTAGTGCACCTTCCTAGGACAAGGTGCGGCAAGAGAAATGCTGAGAGATAGGAAGCTGGAACCCCCCAACCCTTACAGTCTTCCACTCGTCTTGAAAAAAACACTCCCAGCAAGAGACAAGTTGCGACAATTTCTTCCTAGCTGTATTTGGACTGGCTGCAGGGGAAGGGGAGGGGGCAGGGCGACTTCATTACCTAAACTCAGGAGACACCATGGGCAGAACAATGTAAAAACATGATAGTTCTTTAATTAGTTCAGGCATTTTACTGGTGTAAGTAAAAAGAAGCAAACTACACACGTTAATAGCTGTTCTCAAAGAATGTGTTTGTATTACACAGGAGAAATGTTGCAGCTTGTGCTTCCAGTCAGTGCATAACGAATCTATGCCGCGTCCTACTAACGATGTTGTAAGGGGAGAGATCCTGCCTAGTGCATGGATACTGCAGCCTGATAGTAGCAACGGAGAAACAGTCACGCGGGTCATTTATATGGTCCAGGTAAGAACTACATGCTGTACAAATATAGCCCCTGGTCTTTAGGAAAAAAACCTCTCCAGTTATCAGTTTTACCCGATTATCTATGGAAGACAAAGTAAAAACCTGCATGATTCCTGTAGGAAATTTACAGTTCCTATTTACAATAAGCATATGACGCTAACCTAAAGTAAAACACATGGAGTATAACCGGCAGACAATAAAACGGGATTAGTCCATATAAAATTCATGAATAACTTAAAAGTCCATTAAAAGCATCTAAAGGCAGCTCCACCAAGAGACTGGAATATATCCCTGCAGAAATAAAAGAAAACACAAGGGGGTCCCTCGAAGTGCAGTATTAAGAAGTAATTTAACCGCCTCCCTCCCGCCCGCCCTATAGTAAAATGACAGACGCAAGGCAGCGGTTCTCTCGTTCTGGGAGGACGTCATATGACGTCCTCCCATTCTCACCGTACATGCACGGCTCTGGGAGCACGCAGCTATTACTGATCCACGGAAAGAGCCGAAAGATGTCGGCTCGGTCATGTAATCAGCTGTGTCCAATCACAGCTGATCACATGTAAACAGGGAAATGCCGGTTCGGCATTTCTCTCCTCACGAGCTGTCACGCTGACAACTCGAGAGGAGAGCCGGTAATCGGCATTCCTCGGAGGGGACATCTACACTGATCATCAGAGCACTGATGATCAGTGCCATGTATCAGTGCCCATCCATGCCACCTGCCAGTGCCCATCAGTGCCACATTTCAGTGCCTACCAGTGCCTACCAATGCCACATATCAGTGGCTTTCAGTGCCAGTCAGTGTCGCCTGTCAGTGTGTATTAGTGCCGCCTATCAGTGCCATATATGAGTGCTGCCTTTCAGTGCCACCTACCAGTGCCTCCTCATCAGTGTCCATCAATGCAACCTACCAGTGCCCATCACTGCAGCCTCATTAGCACACATCAGTGAAGGAGAAAAATCACTTATTTACAAAATTTTATAACAAAAACTAAGAAAAAACTTTTTTTTTTTCCCAAATTTTCTGTGGTTTTTGGTTTGTTAAAGAAAAAACCCAGAGGTGATTAAATACCACCAAAATAAAGCTCTATCTGTCACAAAAAAAAAGATAAAAATTTCATATGGGTACAGTGTTGCATGACCGCGCAATTGTCATTCAAAGTGGGACAGCGCTGAAAGCTGGAAATTGGCCTGGGCAGGAAGGGGGTATAAGTGCCCTGTAGGCAAGTGGTTATTAATCCATACATAAAACACTCACATGTGTGAAGAAAGTAAAAAGCCTGGAATTAAATAAGGTCCATAGCCACTCTGTTGGTCACTTTATAGATGGTAAGATGGGGTCAGTGGCCAGGGTCCGATGGCACCTAAACCAGGGTGGATATCGGCATTGTACGGAGTCATCGGCTCCCAGGGACGGAGAGGACCGCGGAACCGTAAGTGACGTCAGGAAACCTGCCGTAGAACACAGAAAACCAAAAGTGGTGTCGGGATGGAGCTATAGCCTTGGTAATGTGATTTGGAGCACCAATCAGCTCCTTTGTCATCATACCATTTATACAGTTGCCAACAGAGTGGCTATGGTCCTTGTCTAATTTCAGGCTTTTTACTTTCTTCACACATGTGAGTGTTTTATGTATGGATTATTAAATTACTTCTGAATACTGCACTCTGAGGTGCCCCCTTGTGTTTTCTTTTAATTTACAGTTCCTACCCTAAGAGATTTGTAAAGTTAATAGATCTGAAGAGGGTGTCAACATCCATTGATATAACTATCCGGTATACGCTCACCAGCCACTTTATTGGGTACACCTTGCTAGTACCGGGTTGGACCCCTTTTTGCCTTCACAATTGCATTAATTCTTCATGGCGTAGATTCAACAAGATGTTGGAAATATGTCAATATGGACCAAAATCTCTGAGGAATGAGTAACTGTTGCCTTTCTATCATCTTGAACCAGTCTGCCCAAGTCATTTTCGTCCACACAACTGCCGCTGACTGGATATTTTCTGACCATTCTCTGTAAATCCTAGAAATAGTTGTGCGTGAAAATCCCAGCAGATCATCTGATATATATAAATATTCAGGCCAGCCCGTCTGGCATCTGTGGCAAACTTGCTCATCAGAATTGGAGCGGAGTTCCCCCTCAACCCTCGTTTTCGTGTTCTATCTGTTTATCTGAGGCATTTCTCAAATCACTCCTCACATCCCCCCTGCATTCCTGTGAGGCAAAGGTTATCTCCTGGCAGATGGTGTAGGGGACAACCAGGAAGACATGAGAAGTGGAGCCATCCAGTCTGAATGAGGTGTCATTTTTATCACCCAAAACTATGTAAGCCCACTCATTATCAAACCAACCAGAATAAGTGCACAGTCCTCAGGTCAACTGTATGGTTCATATCACGGGATCTGAGCTAGTAATTTAGTGTAGAGTTCCCCAATGACCACTCCCAAAATGGGTAGTCAGAGCCCCCCTTCCCCTGAGAGGGACCCTTGAAGACTTTTAAGCGAGTTAGAGAAACTCTGACACACACACACACAGGAATCTCCCAGCAACATCGTAACAAGGGGAGATCAAAGAAGCTTTCTGCTCACAACTTGAATTTGCTAAAACCAGGCAAGGCAAGTAACTTATCCTGTATTTTCCCGCTATTCTATGTTTGCTGTGTCTTTGTATACATATATATATTTTTGTGATATCTCTTTGTACATATTTATTTTGCATCCAACGCTTTTAGTAATAAATCTTTCTTTCTGAAAGTGTTAAACTGTTTCTAAGCGCTTACTTGCAATTCACGAATCCCTGCCTTTGAAGAGACGCTACTGTTTGTATATCTCTGTATAGCAGGTCCGCGGGCCGTGCTATATAGACCAATATTTCAATCATTATAGTGTATATTTAGTAACGGGAGTTTCCCAGTCTCCGACAAAAGTGGTGGTGGCAGTATAGGGTTAGTTGCGTAACTAACCTGACCCAGTAACAAGCGCATCCAGGCTGCAGGCACCGATTGTAGTCCATTAGCTGGGCAATCGCTGTGTAGGGTGCAGCTGGGTGGGGCCTTGTTACGCGCGTCACACCGCGGTTTTGGATCGGCCGGCCCTTCGGTCACGAGTTTGGTGAGAAGGTCTGGGGTCTGACGCCGTGGGCGTGACGTATTACTGTTAGTTGCGGCTGTGCGATTGTCGCCTGTTGGTGGCGGTGACCGCGGGTCGTGACAGCATCAACAAGCATGCCACGTTCAAAGTTACTTAAACCCCCTTTCTGATTCTCAGTTTGAACTTCAGCAAGTTGTCTTCACTACGTCTAGATGCCAAAATGCATTGCGTTACTGCCATGTGATTGGCCGATCAGCAATTTGTGTTACCAAGCAACTGAACAGGTGTACCTAATAAAGTGGCCAGTGAGTGTATTTAATAGTGTAGCTTGCAGTAAGAGTCATGGCACTTGCCCCTTTGTTACAGACTTGTAGCAACTACACAACTTGCTGCTTAACTAATTGCCAACCGCAGATAGCCGAATGACGGCTGCACTGCGGCTGGCCAGTTCTGGGTGGACGTCATATGACGTCCTCCCAGAACGCGCTCTCCTGCGCGCCCCCGCGATCTCCGTGATCGCTGTGTCCTACGGACACAGCTGATCACGTGACGTGGTAAAAGGCCAATCACAGCGGCCTTTTACCACGTGATCAGCCGTGTCCAATGACACGCTAATCGCCGGGAAATGCAAATGCCGGTTCTCGGCTGCACTTTCCTCACGCTGTCAGATCGTGAGGAAAGTACTGCCGAAAACCGGCAGTTGTCAGAGTGGGGATCGGCACCGATCATCAGGGTCACTGATCATCACTGCCCTGATGATCGGTGCCCAGCAGCGCCGCACACAAGTTCCACCCACCTGTGCCCAGCAGTGCGCCCACCTGTGCCCAGCAATGCACCCACCCCTGCCCAGTAGTGCGCCCACCTGTGCCACCCAACAGTGTCACAACCTGTGCCCAGAAGTGCCACCTACCTGTGCCCAGTAGTGCCACCCACCTGTGCCCACCAGTGCCACCCACCTGTGCAGCCCAGCAGTGCTGCCAGTCAGTGCCCAGCGGTTGTGCCAGTCAGTGCCACCTATCAGTGCTGTCTATCAGTACCCATGATCAGTGTCGCCTATCAGTGCCGCATATTAGTGCTGCATATCAGTGCCCATCCGTGCAGGAGAAAACTTACCTGTTTGAAAAATGTTATAATTTTTCAAATTTTTTTGCACTTTTTTTGCTTATAGCACAAAAAGTAAAGTGCCCAGCAGCGATTAAATACCACCAAAATAAAGCTCTATTTGTGAGAAAAAAAAATGATAAAAATTTCATATGGGTACAATCTTGCATGACCGTGCAATTGTCAATCAAAGTGCGACAGCACTGAAAGCTGAAAATTGGCCTGGTAAATAAGGGGGTATAAGTGCCTGGTAGGCAAGTGGTTAACAAAAAAAAAAACCCATCAAACATTGTAGCTTTGCTACTGATTGATTTTTTTTTTTTTATGTTCCTATCAGCACAAATGATTCTATAGCTTCTATAAATTTTTTTCAATAGCCCAGGAAAAGCCAATACTCCTGGTAGAATGAGTCATTACATGGAATGGCAGGTCCTTTCCTTTAGGCCAATAAGCCTGAGAAAGAAGTTGATAGATCCACCTAGAAATGGTAGAACTTAGGTGCAGTTTGATCTTTCTTCGGTCCCTCAGGAAGGACAAAAGTCAGAATGTTGAATTGAAGCTCTTGCCTTCAGACAAACTTTTACTGGACAACCCACATCCAAGGTCTAAAAGGCCCTATCTTTCTTTGTCTTAAGATTAGGACACAAGGAGGACAATACAATATCCTGGTTGAGATGAAACAAAGCAACCACCTTAGGTTAAAAAAAAAAAAGACAACTAAGGTTGTAGAAACCACCTTATCTCAACAACTCATTTGTTCTTCACCACAAACTGAAGGAATCAACAGTGCAACGGGTAGCATGGATTTTGAAGATATATATATCTTTTATATCTACTGATGCCAGAAAGGAAGGTGACCACTGACTGGACCAATTCCATTCAGAATTTTTGCACACAAAAGAGAGCCTTCAGACCCAGAACTGGGCAAATGCTGCTGTTTTGGTTTAGGCATCATGAAAAGAAACCATGAAGGCTTTTATCCAGGGAGGAATTGTTCCAGTTCAGATCTAGTCAATGGACTCAATGATACAGAGTATTTATATTTAACAGAGAAAAAGAATGCTTCTAAAGGTAGGAGTAGTAGGCTTCTGCACCACAGACTTTGCCCTTTTTTATGGCCAGTAAGAGGATACTATTAACTACAGTTACATTTTTGATGTAATCATGCAGAGCACAACAAAACAAAATCATTCTAACTGAATAGGCAGGTGTTCAGACAGCTTCATGGCAGCAAAAGGATTTTAACAAAAACCAAATAATGTAACATTGATGGATGGGGCCAACAGAATATTTCCTTTTTTTTTTTTTTTCTTCCTAGGCTGATCTTGGAGCTCCAGCTATTCCATCTAGGCTGCTTGGTGTGGTCAGCAAGAGGCAGCCTTTCGTGCTTTCAAGACTGGCCAATTTCCTCTCTAGGTAACACAAAACTGTATGAGCATCAGCACAAAGGACTGCAATAGTCCCAGAAGCCCAGTTACAGAACTGTGAAGGGATTCCCATGATAAGTACAATATGCTTGTAGCACACCTTATAAGATTTGGCAGCTCTCATGCTTGCAAGATAATCAGTTGATTTTTTTTTTTTTCCTGTGGATGCTTCAGAAATGTTTAAAAAACTATTTTGCACACAGCATTATGAAGCCTGCATGAATTAGGACAGAGACGTCTTGTCTGCACACAAGGACGATATTGTAGAGAAGAGACAGTTAAGGTTGCTTAGGAGTTCACAACTGAGAGAAGTAGGTCCGATTATTCAGAGTGTGAGGGAACAGTCTCAGGTAGTCTGTAGTGCCAATATCACTCTGATTCTTCTTTTAATTCTTTCACATTGCTATGGGAAAACAGATAAACCAACCTGTTCTTACTTATGTATAAGCTAAGGTTGACGTAGTCCTCTATTGAAATCCTTTTAAAGGCATGGATTTAGTTTTGCAGTGCTGGCAGAATAGAAGCTGCAGTCATTCTGACAATGCTGTATGAAGATTTCTGTAAATGTTGTCGAACTGTGAGGACATTTCAGCACATGTTGATATAAGCAAACAATTTATATTACTTTCCACAAAAGCTCGATTGCCTCTCAGAATAACCTGGAAAGGGGCTGCATCTGATTGGATGTAACCACTTTTCAGCTGTCAATCTTTCAGACAAGGGATGTCAGCTGACAAAGCTACCCACTGATCAAATTTCAGCTGATCTCTTAGGAACCAGCCGCCTACAATGTATGCCCAGCTTAAGACCCTTGATTACTAGGTGAAAGGATACAAATGCATAATAAATATGCAAAGTGCAGTAACCAATAGCAACCAGAACAACTCCTAACTGACTGCAGTATACTAATATCAGATCTGTTACTGCATGTAAGCATTGCTCTTCTCAATGCCTGAATTATATTAAATCTGAAGGTGTAAAAAGAGCTAGCAGACATTACCCTTTCTTGCCCAGCTCTGACATCCCTTTAGTAGGGACTTTACAGCTGGGGGTGGGAAGGATGGCCTAATAATGTGCCAATGTGATTAGCTGTCACATGATCAGGAGCTGGTGCCGCCAGCTTCTGATCTTTTACTAGAGACCGCAGGTGCTTTTATAGCCCAGTCACCTTCAGCACAAAAACCTTGACTTCCCATAAACGCTAGCATGCAAGTTGGAGGTGAAGCCCACCTTATTTGCCACTGCATGTGTTACATGGACAGTGAGAGGTTAAATTAGCTCTGATTTAGCATAACAACCCATTTTATAGAACACGGAGGAAGCTATTCCAGGTTCAGCAAACGTTGCTGTTTAGTGTGAGGCAGGAAAGCCAGATGTAGCAGAGCTGGATGGTATCTTTACCCAACACTATAAACAGCATAGCCAAATGATCTCGGTCAGATTGTGGGGAAAGTCTTCCATGCGTTAGATCTTTTTCCATTATGTTCAAGTAAGCGGACACTCCATATGCTTTGTATATTTATTTTGGGGGCCAGCGTTTACTGCACTTTCTATGCATACAGAAAAATATGCATTTTTAAAATACTGTACAAGGCACACTATGCTATACAAAGTTTTAGCTGCAACTGGTCAGGTGCTCCTTAAATGAAGGAGCTTGGTACCTTGTTGGCAATCAATGCTCAATGTGTATGGAATGCTGACTGTAAAATTAGTTCTTGTACATATGAAGACATTTTCTGACAAGGGATGAGGTTTTTAATTTTTCTTCAAATCGCAGTATTCTATGCAAATGATTTTCTTACCAACAGTAGACTGCATACAGATAGCTTTTGAAAATGTGACTAGTTTGGTGTTCTGTATTACCAGACCCAAATCCCGTGTGGTCAGCTGAGTCATAGGCTATGTTCCCTGGATGTAATGTGTGGATGGTAAAAATAGTGCCATTATCCACAGAAACCAAGCAGATGTCATTTATCAAATCTAAGCGGAGGAGACAAAACAAGAATGTTCTCTACTGCAACTTCTATGCCTCCTTCATGTGGTTTTCAAAAATCAACCCCATTGTTTATAAAGGTATAAATGAACTTTTGCTAGACGTTTCTGACCTGCTTACCTCTTGCGGTTCAGCAACTCACATTGAAGCCAGAGGAAGTGGCATTTCTAGAAAAGAGATCATCAATAGCTGCCCCTATATTTGCTCTAAAGATTTACTTCTTTGTCCAACAATTGCTAATTGGTCTTCTGAAAAGTTAAGGAGACACCCCAATTGCAGAGAAAATGAATATGGTACATTATTGTTGCCATTATGATTTCAAACTTTTTGGCTTCTAAACACTAAATTTGAAGAGTATCACAATCAGCAGGCCTATACTAAGCATCTGCAAAGCCTAACCCAGCAATCTCCCAGGACTTCCCCAAACATCCACTAAAGAGTTAAATGCTTGTCAAAGGAGTTTTATGTGCAGTTGGCACTTAATTTTTCTTCCCACCCTCAGAATTGCAGCCACCTTCCAAAATATTTACTTCCAGCTCTGCTCCTAAGTTTTTATTTGTGCAGTCCTACCCACCACCGCTGCACAGCATTTAAAATACTCCCCCCACTGATCTGACCATTTGTGTTCTTCACTGTACAACCCCTGGAGTTTGTGCCTAGCCCCACCTACTTACTGGACTATCAATGTGATGGGCAAACTCACCAACCAATCAGGAGGCAGGACCATGTTCCAACTTCCTAGTTGGAATACCATGGCTTTACAGGCTCCCTGGGTGTTCTGATTTGCATAAATCTTTGCCACATGCAAGCAGTAGGTTTGGTTTAGAGACCATAGCCACATCACATGAAAATATTGACAGTGAGATTTAGAAACCCAGCAAATTATATCAGTCTAGTAGCATCCACAACTCCTACTTAGCTAGGAATATTGCGTAATGTGAACGTTGCTCTCAGCACTGTACAACACAAATGTGTTATTAAAAAAAGACAAACTTCACCATGTGCAAAGAATTTTGAAGGATACAGTTTTCTGTACAGTGAAAAGTTTATTTTTATATAAAATGTATACAGTTTTTTTATGTTTACAATATAATTTATTTATATATGTATATGCTTGCTTTGGATTTAAGTTTGTAATCTATCCCCTGTATCAAAAAACAAAAAAAGTAAAGATTTGAATTGATTTCTGTGTGTGTGTGTGTATTTTGCTACTGCAATACAGTTCCTGTAAGCAAATATTTTAAAATATAAATCACTTACATATACATGTGTACAAAAACATACACAATCATAAGTTTGGGTTCTGAAGAGTTAAAAAAATAAAAATAAAAGCATTTGGTTTTATCCTTTGGACATGGAGGTGTGAACACTGAAATTGGGTGGGTAGGGGGAATGTGCAAAATCACTGATTCATGGGACAACCTGAGACTGCAAGCAAGGATGGACATAATAAATCACTTTATTTGTAGATATATAAGGCCTCCTTCACACAGGCATTTACCTGCTTACACCAGACTCCAGCGGCAAGAATCAGCAGATTCTTATTGCTGGAACAACATTTGCATATGAATAACAGCAGCCTCTCAGCCTGTACAAAGTAATGACAGGCTGACAGCATCCTTCGCTGTTTGCACATAGCTGCATACCCGGCTTGGACACCCGCCCCTAACCGCAGGTAACCTGTTTGCTGTGCAGCTGCATGCAAACTGATGGCTGCTGCCAGCCTCTCCTTGCTTAGCACAGGCGCAGCAGCCTCTGCTATTTACATGCATCTATCATGCCAGCTGCAAAATGTGCTGATTCTTGATGATGGAATCCAGTGTATGTAGATAAATGCATGTGTGAAGGAATACTACACAGTTCCTCCCAGTTGAAAAGCATGCAAATGTAATCTGATCTTTAAGCCTTAAAGGAGAATAGGCTCAATCACCAGAAGTTGAAGCTTTCATTTCAAGAGCCTTGTATAGAATAAACCTGGTGCAACAGGAAACCTTTCAATGAGGGCACTTGTTTCAGTGACATCGGCTAGATAATTCCTCTTGCATCTTCAGGACAGAAGTGAAAAGAAATCTCCCCAACAGGATAGAGAGGGCAAAAAAATAAATCGGCAGAGGTTTAAACCCTTCCCTATTCAGAAAAGAAACGTTTTCTCTGTACAAACACTTTTAATTAACATGGGGTGGTCCTGCCACAAAGGTAACCTTGTTCAGGCGTTTCTTGCTATGGGGGTGACCATTATCTTCCAAAAAATGCTCCTTCATTGTTACCCTGTCACATTCTCCTACACCTAATGGAGACTACAAGTGGCCATGCCACACATAGCGTACTGGTATGGTCTTGTTGTCACTCAGTTGGTAGGACCGGAATCATGATATGCAGTTGACACTGGAGCAAATGCATGCAGGCACGAAGTAGCTGAGGAGAGCTGGAGGAGATTAACAGCATTAAGATATGACAAAAGTATTTTAACAAAAAAAATGCTATTGTTTGATACAATTTTGTGTTGTCCAGTTAGTACATCAGAACTCATCTAATTCCTATCATTACAAATTTTAAATCCCTATGGAACGCCCCTGGGGACCTAGTGGATGGAGCACTTGGTCCTATCCTGACCGATGGCTGCATAGTCTACTAAAGGACATAATGTTCTATGTTTATGCTGGCTGCAGCCCACCCTAGGCAGAAGTCTAATTTATGGGCTTCCTATGGGGAACTATAGCATAGCCATTGCCACAGCCACTCATGGCAGGACAGTAATCGATCTTTTACAGTCAGCATTGCTAGCATCTTGTATTGTGAATAGTGCAAGTCATTAATATCAATGGCATAACAAAACACACACAGCTAGTACTCTGCTTGTTAAAAACCAATCACTACATGGTCAAGCCTGAGTGGGAGAGTGGGCAGACAACTGCATCCATGGGCTGACTCCTTGGCCAGTGCTGGCGGGTCAGAGAACTAGATGGCTTCTTGTGGTGTTGTCATTCTGTCATAATGAGTGGAGTCATTCACAACACCACAAGCTGCCAACTGTTACTCAGACTGTAAAAGATTTATCACTGCCCAGCCAGCACTGCACGAGGAGTCCCCAGCATCAGCTCATGGATGTGGCCACTACCTCTAGACTGAACCCTATAAAAGAAATCAGGCACACTACCTGCCTGGTGTCTGAACCCCTCTTCACAGCCAGCACATAGGAGAGTGCAAACCTAGCCCAGTATACCGAGTCCAGCTCTGATCCAATGTCACCAGGCTCTTCTCTGTGTCCCTGTCACTCAGTTCTACTTAAAAATTTGTCTCCTTACTAGCAGCATCATCAGGAAGAAGAAGGGGGAAGGCTGTCAACCATGCTGCTCAGCAACCAAGACACAGATGAGAAAAGGGCCAATTGCTCCATACACTAGGTCCCCTGTGGGATTTTAGAAGGGTTTAAAATTTGAATTGATAGTTGAAAACTATCAGCAAACATCTATGGACAAGAGCAGCAACTTGTCTTTCTCCACCTTTTAATGCTGAAGTTTAGCTTTCAAAAAAAAAAAAAAATCCTCTACAGCATTAGGTATATTATTTACCTCTAATTAGGTATGTCCCACAATGTGCAGGCTGTAAGGTTTGGTAGAAAGCTTTGCGGCAGGCTGCCCTGTCCTCTTCTTGCATAACTTCTGGTGCTGGGGGGGTTAGGTTTGGTTGTCCAGGCTCAGCTGCACTAAAGATGATCCAACAGAGCCATGCCCCCTCCAGCCCTATCTTTCACAGATTACACTGCCTGTAACACAATCTGTGAATAGGGGAATCTCTGATCAGTCACAGGATCCTTTCCCCAGCCACAGATCATGTTACAGGCAGCATATTCAGGGAAAGAACTTTTCTTAATGCGGAGAGAGTAGAAGAGGGGGGGGGGGGTCCCAGGCTAATCATCTTTAGTGAAGCTAAACCTAGAGACACAAATCTGTTAGTTTCCACAGTGCCGGAGGTTCAGCAGCATGAAGAAGACAGGGCAGCTTTTGCAGTGAAGAGTTCTACAGAATCTAGCAGCCTTGCAGGACAAACTTTATTACAGGTGATAAAACTAAAGCTGAAGCCTAACTATTAGCTATTTAGCGCCTCATGCATCTCTTTAAAACTGATTTTATTGTATTAAAAACGGCATTATGCAATAAACATAAAATGCAATCTTGTCTTACATGATTTAATGAAAAAATGATAAATATATATTTTCGAAACATAATAGGGCTACATGAAATTCATAACAGTGACCACAATATTATTTTATTACTTGTTTCTCACCTTTTATAAGGCCATGTATCCATACACAAATTAGCAGTTATTCACAAACACATTTGTCATTGAGTAAGGAGCATGTAAATTCATTAACACTGTAAAAGGCGCAAGTATTTTAAAACCTGTAGTGAAAAATGCCTAGACTGCCACTTTTGGGAATGCTAGTTGCAGGAGTGTGGTGTTAACTGACTCAATACAAATATGCCAGTCAGGACATCTGCAGCGGCAATGCATTCTTCTGACTCATACTGGGGTCAGACTGACAAACAATTAGTAATTTTAGGCGGTCACTAATGGCAGCTTCTGTATTTTTCTCAATACAGGTTTGCTTTAAGCTCCAGACATCAATGGCTACCTAGGATCCTGTGATATTGCTGCCCTGATCAGCATTAAGTTGAAATATTCCACAAACTACAACAATGCAAGTAAAATGTAGTTTGCTCCTTTATATGAGACCTTATTGAGCAAGGAGCTCTAGAATGACCTCCAATTCTAACTAACCAGCTTCAAAAAATATTTCTAGTAAATACTGCTCAGAGTGGAACAATATTGTAAGAAAAAAGAAAAAAAAAACAAATACATAAAACTATTTTTTTCTGTGCTAGCATGACATGATCGTTATCCTTGTGTGATGTTGCTCAATTCACTAAGCTATAAAATGATTATTTGTCCTAAAACGTATTTTAAGTATTGACGGCTGTAAATGAGTATCACGTGATTGGAAGTCATAACAGATATGGCAAATAACATGCATTGTAGCTTTGTGAATTGAGCCCAATGTCTTTCTTGTATAAAAGTAGCCTACAATTAGGCCTTATGCATATGGGCTAAAGCTTGTACAACAAGCAGTGTATACAGCAAGCTTTGGCAAAGCTTCCAGCCAGCTTTGTTGAAGCCTTTAAAACAAATTCAGCTTAGCTTGAGTACATGAAAGATATATGCTAATAGAGTGCTTCAGAACTACTTGGAGCTTGCTGAAAGCCTGCTAGCTGCTTGTTTAGCGTGACAAGCAGCATTTCCATGAGGATCTGTTTGTCACCATCAAACTGCAACTAAACTTTGTTTTAAATGCTTGAACAAAGCTGCCAGAAACTCACAGACAGCTTTACAAGTACTTTGTAAATGCTTCGTGTGCAACCTTCTATTTCACATAATGAAGTCCATATGTACAGGGCCTAAATGTACCATTAAAAAAGTACCCACCTCAAGGTAGAAGACCTCAAGTGATTACCTTTTTAAACTGTGGTTTTATATAAAAAATATTTAAAATGCAAGTGCTATTTTCTGTGATAGTCTTAAAAGGTCAGTACACCTAAAAGGGCCATTTCATTGTTAAGTGATCCAAATCTCCAGCACCCACCTAACAGTTTGTTGAATCTCTCAGGTGGAAAACTCTTGTGTGCTTGTGTTCTTGGGACTGAACACCTGCTGTAGCCACCAAAAGGAGTTCCCACTCTTCCTGATGACTCCCTTTTATTGGATATTATAGGAAGGCATCAGGGGTATAGTAACATCCAAATGTGGATGAGAACAGAGCTCTTATCAGGGATTTCTCACTGCTGGAGTCCCCAAGAGACATAAGATACCAGCAGAACACTCTGCCCACCAGATAATATATATATATTTATTTTTTTTAAATAGAAATATGCTTGGTGGACTGACCCTTAATAAACCCAAATATTTAACAAGGTTTCTCAACAGACTGTAAAATTAGCAATATAAAAATACCCATAGGGTTCCATATTACCAGCTGAAATAAGAAAATATTACAAACCATATAAATATAAAGTTCTTTGAAAAAATGTATTGTGCTCTTGGCTCCGGCTGCCCAGTGAATTGGCCATATGCCGTGTAAGTTCATACGGATATACCTTCTATTGGGTCAGCAGCTGTTTGCTGGCAAGTGGAACATATGGCACAGGTAGCAGCATCAGTCGTAGGAAGAGACAAATGGTGTTCAGACACTAACTAGGGGCAATTATTTCAGCCCCTGTCTGTGGTACAAGTATACCTGTTGAGTCTTTTGGCTTTCTGTAGTTTTCTGAGCCAAGTGCTAACTGGTCCAGCTCAGACAACAGATCCTGTTGTGAAAGAAATTCAGTTTTAGTAGAAAAGTATTTTTACACCCTCACATATAAGAACACATTTGTAGATCTTTGAGCATTGAAGGATGGAAAGATATTTAAGCATTAACCCCCAATAATAAGGAATGCTTACCAAAGGCCACTTGTACTTCTGGAGGCTGCATACGTGTTTTTCGAGATCATCGTGCTGTATAAGGCCAAACTCAAGCAATTGTTGCACTAAGGCGGCAAACAATTCCCACTGCTGTACATAAAACAGATTTGATGACAATAAATAAACTGTGCCAACAGAAGGAATCAGCTCCATTTAACTCTGCTGTATGTGTTAAAATTCAAACCCTTCTGGGAGTGCTGGATGCTTACTTCTGACTCCCCTCTCTGGGTGTCATTGAAGCCGGGAAAGGACTGGCACTGGATTACAGAGCTGTGTTTGCTGGGGATATGCTTGGTGAAAGGGCAAAAGCTGCATTTTCAAAGGTCAAGTTCATCCTTTTTTTCCTCTCTAAATTCCAGTTCCCCTATGTATCAATATACCATTAACCCCTTGTCGCCGGCACCTCTTAGGACTTAAAAGAATTTGTGACGCCGGGAGGCAGGGTGGAGTTTTAGGTCATGTGACCGCTGTGATTGGCTGTCACAGCGGTCACATAAGGCGCAACCAAACTGATAAGAGGCATGGAGGAGCTCAGCTATGAGGAAAGATTACAGGAACTGAATTTATTCTCTCCTGAGAAGAGGAGATTAAGGGGAGATATGATCAACATGTATAAATACATCAGTGGTTCACATAGTGAACTCGGTGTAGAGTTATTCACCCTGAGGTCATCACACACTCTACATATTTGGAGATTTCCTCCAGACGTAAAGGTTTCTTCACAGTAAGAGCTGTGAAAATGTGGAATAGACCCCCTCACGAGTTGGTTCTGGCCAGCTCAGTGGATTGCTTTAAAAAAGGCCTGGATTCTTTCTTAGATACACAGAATATAACTGGATACTAACATTTATAGGTAAAGTTGATCCAGGGAATATCCGATTGCCTCTTGGGGGATCAGGAAGGAATTTTTTCCCAGCAGGAGCAAATTGGATCATGCTTTGCTGGGTTTTTTTTTTGCCTTCCTCTGGATCAACTGTGGGTGTAGGATTATAACTTTCTTTTTTTTTTTGTGGATGAACTTTTGCCTTTTTTTCAGCTAGACTATGTAACTATGATCGAAAAGCTCCTGACTGCAAGTAGTGATTTGTCAAGGAGGTGCTGGTAAATGTGCTGGGAGCGCGTAGGGCGTGTGCTCTTGGCACGTTTTGTTTACATTTGATATGCAGTCCCTTGGCGCCAACGTCCAGCTGCCGAAAGGCCGCATATTTGTGTACGCTCGGCCCCAAGTACTTAATGTACCTCTGTTGCAGAAAAAGCCACCTTCCAAGTTTTTTTCAGACAAGGCCTTACCTCAACCCATGGTGTGTTGCATACAAAAGTTCATGACTTCCTGGTATGTAGATTTAGGACATAAAAACTAGTAAGACACAGGAAGGCGTTCTCCAGCTGACATCATTAGCGCACACACCCTGTACCCATCAACTATGTTTGCACGACATCCTTGGCCTCCCACCGGGTGTGCATTTGCCTGGCTCATCAATGTCGGCTGCCGTGGCAATGCTTGCACGGCATCCCTCCAGATGGGCCCAGGCCACATGCTAGCCTCTCTGGGGATGCGGGTTGGACACCTCAGATGTAGTGCAAGGGCCTGCCTGATTGGATACATAGTGAATGGATAGGCGGATCCTCCTATTCCATAATTTTGGTAAGTCTAAAGGAAAATGTTACAGAAGTTTCCTGAACTTAGCCTTTAACTCTTATAGGGCAATACATATTAAATGCAATTCCAGCTTTTAAAAAAAAATTTAAACGACTGAAGTAGGAGAACTGAGATTATTTTTGTTACCAAAAGAGGTGTTAAGCTGGTGATACATATAAAGATTTCAGGCTGAACAAAAGTAGTAGAACAAATTCCTCCATCCACACTGAACAGCATGGATGGACAAGTCCCCCAGACAGGTTATTGTACTGAGACAGCCAACTCCACAGATTGGATGTAGACAATGTCCCACTGACAAAAGTTGACTGAATGGTCAACTTTTGTCAAACAAACAGTGTATGGCCCTGTCAACACTTTGAGTTTCTACCCAGCCAGCAGGAATCAAATTTAGAGCAGTGCATGACCAGAATTAGTTTCTACAGGTCAGCCATCTATGCAAAATACTGGGTAGATAACCACACGCGCATGTCAACCAAATGTCAATAGGTCCTGTGTGGGGCACTGGATACTTCCTGAATACACAGTATAATGTAATAACATGAATAAAAGCTTGTATAATCCTGATTTCTGCAAAGGCAAAAGACTTACATTTTAATGTACTGAAAAAGAATGACAATATAACTGTCTTTCTAGCCTTTACAGTTATCATAAACAGTCTTCAATTCTATCAGTAAATAAGTTCATAAGTATAAAACATTGGCTGATCTTACCTCCTGTTTATGGACATCCATAAAATACTTCATATTTTTGTGGCTAAATATCAACTGTATGGGTACAGGGACTGAAAAATCCTTCTTCCAGATTGTGAGCACTGACAACAGGAGCTGACCGGTTGCCTCCCTCTTCTTACGATGAATTTCAAGAAAGTTGCGTAGCTCAGAGGAAGCGAAATCCACCAATGGAACTTGATCAGACACTGCAAGTTTGGGACAAAAAAGTGGCTAAATGGAACAAAGTGCACAAAAGTATGTAGCTGGAAAAGCCAAGTATAGATTCAGCCTTACCTAGAAGGGAAACCAGCTCCACAGTACACCTTGCAAGGTGGTGTTCTGCTGGAAGGGTTATATACTATCAAAGAAAAAACAAATATGTTTTAAATGGATGTACTTTACTTACTGTGAACAAGAGCCTCACAATTCCGTGGTTACCTTCTTGCAATTCAGAGTCTGAGAAAGACGCTCAAAAAAACTCTTCAGTTTTGCTAATTCCAATCCTTCATCACCATCCCGTGGCCCAATTGAAATACAGAGAAACTCCTAGCAAGGAAATATTAAACAATGTTCAGCACTTGACTCGGTTGTGTAAAGCTTCTGTAGAGCAATAGAGGTAAGAAACAATAATGGTAACACTTCATACATATCACTGTAATACCTTGATTTCACTAAGGAGTCTGGAGGGGAGAGTGACTTTGTGCTCACAATCATCACAACATTCCTTCTTTACATCTGCACTGTCCACAAAGGATGATGTCATATTATGTGACTTCACCATACGAATAAAAGTGGCCTTCACCTCTCTTTTGATAAGCGCTGTAATATTAAATATTAAAATATTATTTACTATTCATTTTTACTATTAATAGCTATATTCCAATACATTGACACCAGAAATGTCCCCCCAACTTCTCCATCCCCATTGGCTGTTCAAAACATTAGTCAGATGCCTTTGCCAAGCAGCTTCATCTCAGTATCAAACTGACAGCCATCACCCATTCTAAGTAACCTGTGCTGTTCCCTCTGATGTGATTCTAAGAACAACACAGCGAGTATAGTTTAGAGAACAATTAAGTGAAAAGTATACAGGTGAGAATGAGTGAATTAAATAAAAAAAAAAACAAAACAACAACTTGGAAAAATACATTGGCAACTTATCAGTGCAGACAGATGAACCTGAGTTATAATAAATTTATGGGTTTATCAAACTACCTGAAATGTTGGTGCTTAACCAAGTGCAAGCCTTTTCTATTGCCAGGGATACTGCAATGTCTTCTGCACTCTTCAGGACCTGTGAGAAGATGAAATCACTTCAAGTTTCTCCATAGTCATTTGCAGCCCACTGTGTTAAAGGCACTCAAAAACATGACAAAGTAGTAGTAATTACCCACTGATGAACCAATGACATACAAAATATACCAAAGCAGGAATTCAGGTAAAGGGTTAGTTCAGCATTACCAAGAAGCTGCCTTATGCAGGTTAAGGGGCAGATGTAAATAAAAACAAACTGTGCAGCTTTGACTACAGATGGATAATGCCTTTCTACAAGCTGTAGGCCATTTACGTACCTCCCTAAGCCTGGCCAAAAAAATCACAAAGATGGCATTATCCTGTCTGGCATTGTTGCTAAGACATTCCCAACCATTACTGCTCACCCCCATCATCACAGGAGCGAGCTCTCAAACCCCTTCTCATGTGAAGACCATTATCTCCTCCGTTGCAGCATAGCTGAACTCAGAACTACTGTGACGGGGGGGGAAGAGAGCACATAGGAGGGGGTTTGAATTGGCTGGGAGTGACTTTGAAATGTCCTAGTGTAAGCGCTCGCTAGTGATCAAAGGCAGTTAAGAACAGGACTTGTGTAGGGGGCCTTACATAGGGATGGAACCACCACTATACTCAAGTCAGGCTTCGAAGCATGAAACTGGCTCCCTCTAATTTATGTATTTCAGGAGGGAAAGGGGACAGTCCAAGCCCTTCTACCAGCTCTTTTCACACACAGAGGGTCCACAGCAGCTTTAGATCACATCACTAAGAACTCTTGCAAGTGCTTGCCATTCCATAGTTCCAGGCAGGTCTGTAAGGCTGGGCTCTGCGATGCAGAAAAGAACCAATTACGGTAACTCAGCTGCCCAGGAGAGATGCGTCTCTGCCCTATGGACAATCTCTCCCTCAGAGCCCTCTATCACCTGACCACCCCACCTCTCCTGCCCTATGGACAATCTCTCCCTCAGAGCCCTCTATCACCTGACCACCCCACCTCTCCTGCCCTATGGACAATCTCTCCCTCAGAGCCCTCTATCACCTGACCACCCCACCTCTCCCTGCTCTGAGCTGGTTGCTTACTATCACTTATTCTCATTTTTAGTATTATAGGCTGTTCTTTGGCCTAGAAAGGACCACTTCCATAACTATGCAACAGTAAATAAGGTGGTAGAACATAAAAGGTGCTTTTACTTGACGTCCATATTATGATACAAACAGCTCCAAATCATGGCAATTACAATACTCGTAGGTAGACAGAACATAGTTTACCTCCCAGGCTAGAACAGCCTACCTCCCAAATTAAACGAGGGAGTGCTGCAGTGCTCATGTGAGGAGTAGTAACAGTGCTACACTAGCTCTTCCATGCTGTACAAGCCTGAAGCCAAACAGTACACCAGACATGGCCCACACTTGGGAGCCTTCTCACTCCATGCACTTGCTCTGACAGGAAATCTCAAACTTTGTTCCTTCCACTAAACGTTCTCAGCATACCCATTGAAGGTATACAGCAGGGGAGCTCACCTGGGGCCTTATATATAACTTTCAGGATTCCAATGTCAATAAAAGGCACTGGCTTCCCCAAGATGGTCACCAAAGCTCAGAAGATGATATACCAGTGCTTGACTGGGCTTCATAGTGCCCAGAGATCAGCAGTGGCCATCTGACTGTCTGTTCCTTACAGTAACATTGTTTTAGTGCCCAGTCACACCGGTGTGATCTGGGAATTGAAATCACACCTGAAATCGCATCTAGTGAATGCCAGTGTCTTAACGTTTACGATTTGCTGCAGCTCTATTTCTAACATAGTTCTTGCATTACTTTTTCTGGAGTTTTGTTGTGATTTCACATACATAGAATATAATGGTAATCACGCTACAAATTGCAAGAAATCATTGGAAATCTTCACAAGTAGCAATAAAGCCTTCCGAAAGCTCACAAGGAGTGGAACACTATAGCACTTTATATGCACACAATGAGTTGGTGATATGTTTTGTTGTATTTTTGCACATATTGATCTTGTTTCAAATGATTATTAGCATATACTGTATATAGTTCTGCTGCCATAACTAAATATAAACCATCAACATTTTACCTGCTCTCTCTGCACAAAGTAAACAATCTAGAGCCTGATACCCTTGAAAATGCTAGATTTATCTCTGGACACTGTTGAAGCTTGTACACTCTCTCTTCACTCCACCTTCCCATTGGGCCCATCATTATAATGGGCTGCCTCACTGGCTAACAGAGAGATGCATGTGAGGCTGGAGGAAGTGGGCAAGCTCTGTAAGTACCAGAAAGTACTGGCCTGAGCATATCAGAGGCAAAAAGAACTGCTGCAAGCTATATGCAGGCACCTATTAGTGCAATATGCAGTTCACAAAAAGAACATTGAGGAACTGGAGAAAGTGCAGAGAAAGGCAACTAAACTGATAAGAGGAATGGAGGAGCTCAGCTATGAGGAAAGATTAGAGGAACTGAATTTATTCTCGAGAAGAGGAGATTAAGGGGGAATATGATCAACATGTATAAATATATCAGTGGTTCATATAGTGAACTTGGTGTAGAGTTATTCACCCTGAGGTCATCGCAGAGGACAAGGGGGCACTCTTTACATCTGGAGGAAAAAAAATGTAATCTCCAAATACGGAAAAGTTTCTTCACAGTAAGAGCTGTGAAAATGTGGAATAGACTCCCTGAAAAGTTGGTTCTGGCCAGCTCAGTGGATTGCTTTAAAAAAAGGCCTGGATTCTTTCTTGGATACACAGAATATAACTGTTTTTTTTTTTTGTAAGTGACAGTCTCTAAGCAAAACTCCCCTTGCTGGCTTCTACTCTTTGGGGTATATGGCCAACTGGGAATGATACAGCTTCAGCGAGTGTGCATGGGATTGCATTTTTGCAATGAAGAGCCTGACTGCTAATTTTTTATTTTCCACCTTAGTTCCACTTTAACTACCTCATACTAATTGACAGGGGCAAGCAACAAGAGCTTTACCATTATAATGAAAGCTGAATTGCCACCCACACTCTGTGCACAATTATTGGGCAACTTGTATTTTTGAGGATTAATTTCATTAGTGAACTAACAGTGCTCTTGATCAATCCAAAATGTTAATAAACCTCAATCCTAAATAATTAAGAAAGTAAAAATGAGGTTTTAGTTTTCTTAGGAGAATATCTATGTGTGCACAATTATTGGGCAACTATTGGTGTGCAGAATTAATATTCAACTAAATGAAAAATGAACATTTTCCCATCTCAATTGTTTATTTTCTTCTGTTAAAGTGAGAATAACCCAAAATGTACAAGTAAACATTTCTGACATTTAAAAAAAAAAAAAAAAAAAAAAAATCAGTGACCAATATAGCCACCCTTTTGTCAATAACAGTCATACGCCTTCCATTCATGGAGTCTGTCAGTTTCTTGATCTGTTGATGATCAACTATTTGTGCAGTAGCAACCACTGCCTCCCAGACACTGTTCAGAGAGGTGTACCGTTTTCCTTCACCAGAGGCCATGTCATTATTCTTTCATCTTTAAGGCTTTACTGGCTAGAAATGCAGTGGAGTACTTTGATGCATGCGATGAAACATTGTCCTGAATATATATCATGGTCTTCTTGGAAGATGTAGACTTTCCTGTACCACCACTTGAAGAAAGTGTCTTCTAAAAACTGGCAGTGGATTTAGGAGTTGATTTTAAGTCCATCTTCAACCTTTAATAATGCCAGCCCATCCCAATACCCCACCTCCACCTGGCTGGTGTCTGAGTCGTAGTGGAGATCTGTGCCCGTTACTGATCCAGCCACGGGCCCATCCATCTGGTCTGTCAAGAGGCACTCTCATCTCATCAGTCCATAAAACCTTTGAAAAACCTGTCTTCAGTTATTTCTTGGCCAAAGTCTTAACGTTTCAACTTATGTGTCATGTTCAGTGGTGATCGGGTTTCAGCCTCCCTTACCTTGGTCATGTCTCTGAGCACTCAACACCTTGTACATCTAGGCACTCCAGGTAGGTTGCCGTTCCGAAATATGACAGCACTGGAGGATAATGGGTTTCTGGTAGCTTCACGTTTGATTCTTCTCAAATCTTTGGCAGTTATTTTGCATCTTTTTTTCTCAACACGTTTCCTGCGACCCTGTTGACTATTTGCAACAAAACGTTTGATGGTCCTGTGATCACACCCTAATATCTTAGCAATTTCAAGAGTGCTGCATCCCTCTAAAAAACTTTTTAGAATGTTTTACTCTTTGGAAAAGTAGCTGCCTAATAATTATGCACACTTTGATATAGGGTGTTGATCTCCTTAGGCCACACCCTCCCTCGTTACACAAATACACATCACCTGATATGCTTAAATCCAATAAGCATTCACGTTTATACAGCTTGGAGTTGGACAATATGCATACAAATGATGATTTGGGCAGGATATTCACTCTAATAATTGTGCACAAAGTGTATTTACCTACTGCAGGTGGTTAAGGATAAGTGACTGACCCAGTAGTAAGAATTCATATTATAGTCCACAAACTGACAAGAGGACACCACAAACAACAGGCAACTATACGTTCTCCAACTGTAAGTGCTATGACTGCCATAAGCAGAATGTATGAATATTGTCAAATAAGGGGTATTGATCTTGGTACTTTACAACAAAAGATTATATAAGGGCTTCTTTACATTTGAGTCACTCTCTGAAGAGTGATCTGCAGTGGTTTGCTTTTAAGAAGGTGTTTGATAGCCGGTGAGCATCGTGTTAGGTTGCCTCCTAAGCGCCCATTTTAACGTCTAAAAAAAAGAAACAAATCACACAACTGTGCTTCGCTCAGTTAAATGGGTCATGTTTGGCAGGCAGTACTACACGCTGAAGGAGACCGTAGAAATCATTTTGTTGCACTGCAATGTTTTGCACTTGGCATGTGTTCACTGCATTTTCAGCTTAAGGGGAAGTGGTTGAGATAAAGGAGGGGTACACTAAGAACGTGGCTCTGCCACACGTGTTTAAAGGCAACCTCTCTCCAACGTGGCTGGAGATGGACTTTAAGAATATATTTTAAATCCAACAATATAAGAACCAAAGTGCTGACTACAGCAAACTACCCACAAAAGCAGACGTCTCCTCAGGAAGAAGCACTCTGACAGCCTCAGGAGCCTTTTTCTTGCAGTATCTAGAAAGAAGAATGCAGTTTATTAAATATATAAAATAACCTTACAGATTACCATTAACTGTGATGGCTGTAAACAGACCAAAGCACCATAACTACAGGCAAAAAAGGCAACAAACTGTTTTTTAGCAAAAAAAAAAAAAAAAGTATTCAATACACCTCAATATGTAGAAACTTAGAAATGTGACAGCACAAAAAGACCAAGTGGTCCATAGGGTCTGCCTTGTAAGACAATCTCATTTTGTAAGCGAGGTCTCCAGGACTGGACATAGTATTCTAAATGAGGTCTTACTAACAGGTCTATATTGGGGAATCAGGACCACCTTCCTCCTACTGGTGACCCCTCTAATGATGCATCCTAGAATTCTATTCGCTTTTCCCACTGCCTGGCCACATGGTCTGCACATTTTGCAATCATCTGACATAAGTACTCCCAAATCTTTTTTTCCCCTGTAGTGCTGGCCAACACTGGCAACTGACCCACTGCAGCCTCCTCTCTAAGGTGCTCCCAGCTGCGGTCATATGGAATTCAGAGCACTGGAGCAAAGGATAGGGTGACTAATACAGCCTCCTCCTCTATCACTAGAATTAATGAGCATTTACCTTTGCAGTGCAGATGAGGGTGACTGTAGGGTCCCCCCCCCCCCCATCCCTGAGTCGGGCTTTAAACTGATCTGCTTTATTGCATTAAAAGCTGTGCAAATCAAACTGTATAAGCCAAACTTCAGATTTTAAGTATAGGACTACTTTAAGTTCAGCATGTTGCCATCACGTGGTAATACAAAACTGACATTCCAGTCTTCAGTAACACAGAGCTGCTCTAAGAGACAATATTTCATGCTGAGAGTAAGATCTCTGTATATGGTAATGCTTCAAAATGGTTCACTTGTATTTTAAACTCCTCTTACTGTTGTCCTTGCTGCAGAGCCTGCCGTCCATCCTCACAGAGCCTGGCACAAACGCCGTCCAGCAGCATGCTGTGACCTGCACTGTCCTCTGTCACTTTGTCCTTCAGAATAATTTCAGCTGTCTTCACTAGGTCTGCCACCAGTGTAGCCCTTTAAAAGTAGAGATGAACATTCTTCAATCACTCAATGGAATAATTGTGATATTTAACAGAGGTTGAGCAAGTAATGTGATTTTCTGTATAAAACCAAGCTAGGAGATAATTACGCACTTGATATGCTTAACACAGTTAGATCCAATCCGTTCAGCCACAAACTCCACAGATCTCCGAAGTGAGGGAGGCTGATTATGGAAGAATGCTTGTTCCAGCTCAGCCTGTGAAAAGAGATTTATATCTTCAGGTTATCAGCAAGAAATAATATTGAACCAAAGTCTGCAGGGGTGTTGACATTTTTGAAAAAACTGCTTGTCCAGGGACTGAATTGGGGTTTCAATCTACATATCCCTCATGTCCAGATAAAAAAAATAATACATTTTAACCAAAACCATATTTAAATCTGAGGTGCTTTTAGGAACATCTGAAGCTTTTAAAAACAAAAAGGGGCTTTATGGTGACTTATATGTTTAATATTGTACTGTTCAGCTCCTCCTCACCTCCCTGTCTCTTTGCAGCACTGCACCCAGGGACTAGCAGGGAGGAGAGAAACCTCGCAGTGTAATGAGCACTGATTGGGTGCTGTTCAGGAAAGGGGAGTGTCGGGCTTATCCTTTATCCCTTTCACTGCCAGAGCCGTTTTTGCGTTTGTTTGCACGTTTAAAAAATCATTTTAGGTCTGAAGACCCCCAAAACATTATATATTTTCTGAAAGCAGACACCCCAGAGACTAAAATAGTGGTAGTTTACATTTTTTTATGTCGCACGATATTACCGCAGAATTTCAGTAAAAAATACACAAGTTAATTTTAGGGAACAAAAAAAAAATACATTTTCTATTTTTTTTTGTAAAATATAAAGATGAGTTTGTACCAAGTAAACAGATATCCAACATGTCAAACCTTACATTTGTGTGCGCTCGTGAAATGGTGACGAACTTCAGTACCCTATATGTTCTATAGGAGACACTTTTAAAGCCCCTTCTAGGTCATCAGTATAGTGTTACGGGGGATGTCTCATACTAGAATTATTGCTCTCATTCTGGAGTGCACAATGATATGTAATATGTGTAAAAAAATCGGTAGTGCTGGCTCTGAGGAAGAGACAAGTCCTCGTTAGACTGTTGGAGGTCAAATGTTCCTATGTGGATACCATGCGGACTGGACAGTGCTGTTCTTTATGATGAGCTTATTTACATTTGTCCTTTGTGAGTATATCACCTATAATTTTTTATCAATAAATGTTATTTAAGGTAATGCACTAGGCCAGTGCGCCCTCTCTTTATTTTCTTTGTCTGATTACATCACCCAGGGAAATGACAGAATGGCACCAGTGCATCCATATAAGATCAAATTGGGCTCACTACAGGAAAATGTTGAAAACTGCTAACCCGCCCTTACAGGATAACTACAAGGAAATTTCTCAAATAGAGGGGTCTTTGAAGCACTGACAATACTATATTTAATTCTCATAGTAGGTGTAGAGGATTAACTGGGGGGGGGGGGGCAATATATGCAACTCCTTGAACTAAGATGCAAATTAGCATATTATTACAAATAGGACGCTGATAAATCTTGCAGGAAATAGATTTATGAGCTTTAAGCATGGCCTGAATAACTGAATCCTAAAACACCATATTTCAGATCAAGTTTTAACAGCCAGGCTGTAAAAGCCAGCTAAAGAGAAGCTGAGTAGAGGTGCAAAGGCTACCAGACGAACAATGTTGGCATACAACAACCGCCAAGGCCATTCGAGAGCTATGAGAATGGCTAAAATGCTGTAGACTTCGATCCTTCAAGGTAGATGTGGTAAAAATTTCAGCAGAGAAATGGCTTAGATCGGCGCATACCGATCCCATGGCACCCCAGGGCATCTATCGCTTCCATTATCAGGTCTTGAGACAAATCTGTCAATATTATCCACATAAAGAGGAGAGCTCCCCCATGTTGCCAGCATGCAAATACATAAGTGTATAGTAAACCCACAAGTAAATTTATTTTTTAATTTTATTTATTTCTTCAGGTACTTATACAGTGCCATCAATTTACGCAGCGCTTTACATATATATTATACATTTACATCAGTCCCTAACCCTCAAGGAGTGCACAATCTAAGGTCCCTAACTTATATTCATACATACACATACTAGGGACAATTTAGACAGGATCCAATTAACCCAATGAATTTAATGCCTTCTCAAAATGGCCAGTCAGCTACAGCTGCTTTGGTAGCAATACCATACAAGCAGCCTCAGTACCAAACAGAATAAAAACCTCAACACAACATAAAACTGCAAAGCACATGCAACAATGAGTTTTTACAGACAGGGACAGGAACACTGCTGCAGCTCTGGCCTGAGAACGCCACAAGAAATCCCCATTCATACTGGCCTGACCGAAAAGTACATTTCAGCACTAACTGGAACACAAATGGGAAGTTCTTGCCAACTACAGGACTGTCATTGACAGAACGCCAGTATAATTAATGAGCTGGGAAAACCTGAGCCCATTGGCCTACTATAGAGACTTCCAGGTTTTCCAATATGCAGAGCCTGAAATCTACCAGTAACTGTTGACGGTAGAAACATTCTCTAATTCAAGCAAAAAACTAACAGAACAGAAAGACATCTGTTCTCCTAAGGGCACTAAGCAGGTGTGAGGAGGGAGGGTTTACAGGCTCAGGGAGTTGGCCTTCAGTTTTCTATGTGCCTAGGGTCCTGTTTTCCTTTAGGCCAAGGATGGGCAACTGTGGCCCTCCAGGTCCCATCATGCCTATGCCTTTGGGAGTCATGCTTGTAACTGTCAGTTATGCAATGCCTCATGGGACTTGTAGTTCTACAACAGCTGGAGGGCCATAGTTGCCCACCCCTGCTTTAGGCAACCTATATCTCTAGGTTGTTTGGTTATCAACCTGTGTCCCTCAAGGGACGATTGAGCAACATGCAAAATTATAAACAGGGAGACTAGCTTCTCACAGCTGCAATCCAGTAGGCTGCAGTATAACCCTAGGTTTTTTAATAAATCATCAAGCAGTGTCTCTCAAGGGATGATAGAGAAATATACAAATATATAAAAAAGGAGACTAGCATCTCAGAGTTGCAATCCAGCACTTTTGCCATGAACATTGCTTCATTTATTATAGTCAATTCCATTCAAGTTAATAGCAAGAACAAGACAAATTTGATTTGGTTTTTTCACAAAAAAAAAAAAAAAAAAACCCTAATTTTACCTGCAGCTTTTTTTTGTGACAAAGTTAGTTTTGGCATCAGCGGTTCTGCTGCAGTAGGAGTGATTTTCCTTATAAAACCTCCATTTTTGCCTCCAGAGCCAGCCACAAATGAAACAAGCAATTTTCGCAATTCTCCTGCCAAGAAGAAAAATATTTTGTATGAGGTGAAATTTTTGGCTAACTAGCTCTTTCTAATTGTCCAACTTTAATAGGTAACTTACCAAGGTAAGGACAACAGTTGTACAATAGTTGCTGATCCACCAGAGGCACACAATCCTATAGTTACAGAACATTTGCTTAATATGGAGCTGACATCATTCACATTTATAATACATTTAAAGCCCAGCCGCAGCTTCTAGGATATTTGTGATTGCAATTATGTGAAAAAGGCAAAGTAGTTCTAATTCTTGCATACTGAAAACCTGACTTTTTTATGACACTGTCACTATGTGGTATTCTGCAAACTAAAGATAAGCAAGGAAACTATTACCCCAGGTTTACATATCTGCGTTTCTGCGGTCTGCGTTTTGTGCGGATACGAGAGCACATTAATTTGAATGGACTCCCGTGCCCCGGGACACACAGGGAATAAGTCCCTGCACTTCTGAAAACACAGCCCGCACAGGAAACTTGGTTCCCAGTACAGTTGCGATTTCCAGTGCGACGGCGTGCCATTAGAATTAATGGCACCCACCCGCAGGTCCGCATTCTTCTGTGCGGGTGGTGCAGCTGCATGGATTTTTGTGCAGATCCACAGCACAGATGTGAACCTCGTCTTAGGAGTACTTGCACAAACCTGGCACAGAACAGAGACTTTGATCAGCAGGGCTGTCTGAGCCAATCCTGATGTCAAAATGGACACTTTCATGGTGTCAAAAAGAGTGCATTCCAGGATGCCCGTAGTTAAAAGCTACCCCGACCTCTACGTCATCCGAGTGCTTCAGCAAAATAAGGAGCAGCTGCGCTTCCTGGACCAGATCGTCGTGGGACCGGGACCAGAGCCAGGTAAGAAACAGCAGCCCCCTGCCCGCCCCTGTACTTAGTGTCTCTTCCGTTGGAAGGAGGGGGACGGCACCACGCCGCCCCCCAAAAAAGTGCCGCCCTGACACCGGCTCGCCGTATACCGGCGTATAAGACGACCCCCGACTTTTCAGAAGATTTTCATGGGTTAAAAAGTCGTCTTATACACCAGAAAATACGGTAGTTGACTCTGCTCCCCTTTCCCAGTCTTTGGCAGACTTCTGATCTATAATGTAAAAGCGGAGTAGGTGCTTGGGAAAAGGGGAGCAGAGTGAGCTGAGCTGCCAACCTGAAAGGCTTCACTGATTTTGTTGTGAGCTTTAGAGATAAACTGATCCACCGTGCATGGAGCTATAAAAGTCAATAAGACCTTCATTTGCTGTGCGTTAAGACGGTTTACTCTATGAGTAGAATCAATCGAAAGGGCTCTAGGACTGAAATAGTTAACTGATTAAAGTTAGGTATAGCCAAAAGAGGCTAGAAGATTATCCTTCATTTCTCATGGTTATTCTGGAGAGTAAAGGGAAACATTCCCTATAATGATACAAACATGATTAAAACACTTTATATTTTTGAATCTGGAAGGGTTTTTAATGCTTTCTGTGTTGCTGTGGAGGGTTTTCTCCTCACTTCCTGTCCTTGTGGCTAGTACCACCTTGAGCAAAAAAAAAGGGAAGAGGCACAGATAGCAACAAAGACCTGACAAAGGTTGCAACCCTTCCCACACTGAGGATTTTATCAGAGAGAACTTTAGGCGTTACAGAGGAAAAAACACACTAAAACAAACCTGTACAGTAAAGTTACAATTACTCAGAGCTCACTGGAAAAAAAAACCCATTCAAAGTAGTACCTACATATTGATATTACAAAAACGTCCAGACTCTCACACTTACCAGAGCTTGTGCTATTACAACAGTTCCTACTGAAATCTCATCTTTGACAGTTTCATTGTTGAAGAACATTTCTTCTGGTACTGTTGGCACCTAAAAAGCAATTATATTACATGGAGGGATGGCATCAGTCACACACTAATAACAAAATAGTAGATATGAGACACAGAGTCTCTTTATATTCATTATGAAGAGTGTTATGCTGCCACCTTCAGATGACCAGACACTGGCAGAAAGACAAGACAGGAAGTCCTCTCCCAGGCAAAACCCCTCCCCTTTAGGCAAAGGCTTCAGTTTTTGTAGAAAGCCAGGCACCACAAAGAGGGGTGACATCTCTGTGTCCCGAGGTGTACTCTAAGAAAAGAATCTTACAGTTAAACAAAAAAAAAAAACTTTTTCTATACCCTACACCATGGAACACAGAGGGGTTTATTTACTAAACCTGGAGAGTGCAAAGTTAGGCTCACTTCTGCATAGAAACCAATCAGCTTCCAGGTTTCATTGCCAAAGCTTAATTGAACAAGCTGAGGTTAGAAGCGGATTGGTTTCTATGCAAAAGTGAGCCTGACTTTGCACTCTCCAGGTTTAGTAAATAAACCCCAGAGTGTCTTTATATTCATTATGAATAGGGATGTCCCAGGCACTGAATATGAGGAGAGGGCAACAAGCCAACAGGCCCCAGAACACAATGTCCTGGATGAGATGGAGCGAAGAAACCGCCTTAGGGAAAAATTGGGGTCTCAAGGAGTCAACAAAATGCTGACCAGTGAAACAACACTAGTGACACCCTGCACACAGGTACGCACCAAGGAATGTGAAGAAATCAGTCTCTGAAAAGTGACCGCCAAGACTGAAATCTGACTCTTGATCAAACTTAAGGTCAGTTCCAAATAAGCTCCAGATTGGAGAAAAGCCAAGCTGCAAGACCAGGCAAGCTTGTGAGGAGAAAACCTTTAGTTTCACACCAAAGAAAACAACATTTCCAAGATTTGTGTTAAACCTTCCTTCCCTAATTCACCTTCCAAGCTTTCCATAGGGTAGGAATGACAGAAAAGCAAATACTGTCTCACAAGACTCTGGCTGTAACAGCCAGCGGCTATAAAAAAAAAAGGGAGGCAGGTTAGACCTTGTGACAGAAGATCGGTCAGTCCAGAAAAGTGAAGGATTGTCAGCCAACATGTTCACAAGGTCAGAGTACCTGAGACTGGTGTTAGAAAACAGAATTCCTCCCACTCTAATCCTGAAGAGCAGACAATATAAACATTATGATGGCAGAAATGAATAAATTAGGGAGAAAGGGTCTCACGGTGCAACCAGAGTATTTAAAACAAATGCTCAAAGACCCATGGTCTTGGAGACAAACCCATCCAGCTGTGTATTGAACCTGGACACCAGAAGATTCAAATCCAGGGTGCCCCACCAGTGACAAAGTTCCCCCGAACACCTCTGGGTGAAAATCCCAGTCCCCCTGAGAGAGTTGTTGAGAAAAAAGTGCCTGCCAATTTTCTACAACTCAATGCAGACCACCATGGAATTGTCCGACAGGACCCTTAACAGGAAATCACTTCAGCTATTCAATGCAAGAGGGCAAGGTGAATGGCTCTCAGTCCCAGGATGTTGATGGGCAACAACCTCTCCTGAGGTGACCAAGTTCTCCCAGACCGAAAAAAATGTCCAAAACTCCACCCCAGCCCATGAGGCCGGTGCCCATCGTTAGGACCTTCCAGGACAAAAGTAGGAACGCTTTTCCCATCTCTGGCATGTGTGAGGAGATACATCAGTCCAGAGACAGCTTCATGCTGGTATTAGCAATATTAGGGAATCTAAAAACTGTGTCCTCCTGTTTCATGCCCTTAAGACATTCCATTGAAGGGATTTCAATGAAAGAAAGCTGGGCAAAGCTATTGCTTCAAAGGAGGCTACCATATTTCCCAGAACCCTCATGCTAGAGCAAATTGACAGACTAGTTACAGTCTTGAGCAAGTCTACCTGAACCCTCAGAGCAATACATGTCCAGAAGGAGAGGAGCCTAGACAGTATGCAGGGTCAGGCCTAAATATATCAACCTCTGAGTTGGGGCCAAGGCCAACGTCTGCAAATTCAGGACCCATCCGAACCTCTCCAGTGCACTGTGTGAAGCACATTGGTCTGCAGAAGAGAAGCAAAACTGATCCTTCAGAAGCAAGTCATTCAGATATCCACAACAGCGATACCGGTATGCAGGAGCCCCCAAAGCAGAACCTTTGGTAAGTAGATGCATTTCGTCACCACCCCATATGACGTCCTCAAGGTTTTACCTTTGAGGAAGTCACGTCGGGAGTGTCGAAACACGTCACGATGGAGGCTTAGTGATGTAATGACTCTATGATAGTAGTCGGATGGTTGGCTTCTGAGGTGATCCTGTATATATGATATACAGTTGTGTTCAAAATAATAGCAGTGTGTTGAAAAAAGTGAATAAAGCTCAAAATCCTTCTAATAGCTTTTATTTTTTTACATTTTATTTTATTTTGGGGATCGTCTGACAAACTGTCTCTGGCCACTAGACCCAAAAAGAACCATCTTACTTTCATCAGTCCATAAAATGTTGCGCCATTTCTCTTTAGGCCAATGTGCTTTTGGCAAATTGTAACCTCTTCAGCACTTGTCTTTTTTCCAACAGTGGGACTTTGCGGGGGCTTCTTGCAGATAGCTTGGCTTCACATAGGCGTCTTCTAATTGTAACAGTACTCACAGGTAACTTTAGACCTTCTTTGATCTTCCTGGAGCTGATTGTCCTTGCCATTTTGGCTATTCTTCTATCCATTCGAATGGTAGTTTTTCACTTTCTTCCACGTCTTTCAGGTTTTGGTTGCCATTTTAAAGCATTTGCGATCATTTTAGCTGAGCAGCCTGTCATTTTCTGCACTTCTTTATATGTTTTCCCCTCTCCAATCAACTTTTTAATCAAGGTACGCTGTTCTTCTGAACAATGTCTGGAACGACCCATTTTCCTCAGAATTTCAGAGAGAAATGCACTGTAACCAGCATGTACAACATTTGCTGCCTTCCTTCCTTAAATAAGGGCAATAATTGTCACCTGTTTTTCAAAGAATGTATGACCTTACTAATAGAACTCCACACTGCTATTATTTTGAACATGCCCCTTTCAATTAATGATTCAATTACACAGAATCAGCAGCATGCATGTCATGACTATTCTATTACTCTACTATACCTGCTAGTAAATTATTTGCCATGTAGAAATATAATTTCTACCAAAAACAGTGATTGATCAGGTTAGTGATATCTGACTGCTATTATTTTGAACACAATTGTATGTATATGCATTGTTAGATGTTTTGACACATATGTGTTGATAGAGATATATACAGTGGGGCAAACAAGTATTTAGTCAGCCACCAATTGTGCAAGTTGCACAATTGGTGGTTGACTAAATACTTTATTGCCCCACTGTGCCTTGGTGGACATTATGGGAGTTGTGGAAAGACTGATGGCAGAGACACCATTTTAGGTGGTAGTCCTCCACTGCAAACCGCAGAACCTTTCATGAGATGGAAGGATCGGAATTTGCAGGTAAGCATGTTTGATGTCCAGTGATGTCTGGAAATTCCCTGCTGGGTAAAGGTCAGGCTGGACCATACTGATTCCATCTAAACTTTCGCACTTGGAGAAACTTGCCAAGTCTTTTCAGGTCTAAAAGGGGACAAACATCGAAATTTGATTTCAGAACCTGTAAAAGGGTCTTTGTAGAAAGCAAAAACCCTTTCATCCTCTGGGACTGGAATGATCACTTTGAGATAGAGGAAAGCTTGCAGAAGAGTAATATTCTCTGTGGTCTTCACGAAGGTCTGCAGATACAAGTGGCGGTGCCCTTTGATTGTATTTCATTTTTAGTGGCATGCACCTAAAGGGTAAAGATATGCAGATCCTGCCACTCTCCTCAGAGCCATGCAAGTTCATCAGCTGTCAAAAATGAAAGTCATTCCAATTTAGAACCAGTCCTGCATAAAACATGATTTACAAAGAGCAGAAACAGCTTTGGTCTTCACTCTGAGGACGTGCGTGGCACGAAAAGCTTTAGGAGGAACCAACACGCCGTGACGTCACGCTGCCGGAGCCACGTGTAGGTCCGGTGGCCATCTTTACTCTTGGTCAGGGCTGCGTTTACTTTGCAATACTGTTAACCCCTTTTAACCAATTTCCATGGAATAAAGCATTAGAAATGACTACACTATGGGCACTTCTTTTGTGGCTCCTTTATGGAGCTATTAAATTACAGAGCCTGCAGATGATCCTTACTTATCTAGAACCCAGAGGAGGGAATCCCTGTAAACAGGCTGCATACCCATCCATCCTAAAGGGGAACTCTGGATGAGCAGATCTCACTTAATCCCAAGATTCACTGCTGTGCTGTTCCATACCTAGAAGGAAGTTCACCAGGCGCCTGACATACCACGCTTCCCTAAGTGGTCCGTGGTTGCATATGTTTATATGCGAATATTCAATGCGCATCTGGTGAGTGCGCAATTTTACCATTACTTCCAAGCACAAGCATTTGAATTCTACTACAGTTGGGATGATTTATCATCTCTTATTATTTATGAACTTTTATTGTCACTTTTATTAGCGCTGCACTTTATTTATACAGTGTTCTCTGGAGTGACGAATCACGCTTCTCTGTCTGGCAATGCGTTGGAAGTGTCTGGGTTTGGCGGTTGCCAGGAGAATGGTACTTGCCTGACTGCATTGTGCCAAGTGTAAAGTATGGTGGAGAGAGGATTAAGGTGTGGGGTTGTTTTTCAGGGGTTGGGCTTGGCCCCTTAGTTCCAGTGAAGGGAACTCTTAAGGTGTCAGCATACCAAGACATTATGGACAATTGGGGATGTCCGCTTCCTGTTCCAACATAACTGCGCACCAGTGCACAAAGTAAGGTCCATGAGGACATGGATGAGCAAGTTTGGGGTGGAGGAACATGACTGGCCTACACAGAATCCTGACCTCAACAGAACAGAACACCTGCGGGATGAATTAGAGTGGAGCCTGCGAGCCAGGCCTTCTGCGCTTCTAGAAGAATGGTCAAACATTCCCATAGAGGGACGCCGAAACCTTGTGGACAGCCTTCCCAGAAGAGTTGAAGTTGTTATAGCTGCAAATTGTGGGTCAACTCAATATTGAACCCTACGGACTAAGACTGGAATCCAATTCAAGTTCACGTGTGTGCAAAGGCAGGAGTCCCAATACTTTTGGTAATAATGTATTATTATGCTGGGTCACATTATGCAGGATCCAGTGCCAACAAACCACCTTACAGGTTGTCCACCATGTCATCTGGTGCAGGGTCCAGGTATGATTCCTATGAGTGATGAATTGCCAAAGGACATGGATCCAAAAAAAAAAAAAAAGGTCTCTTGATCCTGGATGAAATCACTCAGAAGTTAGCTATTTTTGTGCAGAGAGCTGCACCCGCATGACCAGCACCTTCAGACACTAACAAAAAACAGAAGCCTTGCCTAACGTGGAGGGGACATTTTTTTGCCAGTGTTCAGTCCCATGAATAAAGATGCTCTGTATCTCGCGATGTACAAGAAAATACATTTTTAGGGAAACAGAACTTATTACAAAACAAGGTACCTGGAAGAGCCAGCCCAGAACAGCAAGAATCAGCAGTTTGTTTAATAACCCCATCTCCTTCTCATCAGTCAGGATCAGCTTGTATCTGGGACAACAAATCATTTATATAAACCAATTACAATGACTTCTAACTGCAACAAAAGAAAATCTTTCAGAGTACCAACAAAAAAATTAAAACACAACTGCAATGAAGGTAAACTTTCTAGCAAGACACAATAATAAAAATTGCCTTACTTGCCAGAACAGTTAATCAGCAGGCTCTTTACAGAGTATCACTGCTGGCTATTAATACAGGATTCACATTTCTTCTATCTGTATAAGAATCAGGTAGACCATCTAAATTGTGGTGATTACTAAATGTTAAAATGATGTGTTCAGTCTAATTAAAACATACACTCCTGTAAATATATAAAAACTGACAAAGAGTTTTTTTTTTTTTAAATAGAAATTTACCTGTACAGGTGTAGCAAGTGACAAAATACATTTCTGTAATATTCCAGATATGGAGCAACACCATCCATCAATGAAAGATACTCTACTGCCCATGGAACAGTTAGCACTGTACGATGGTCCTGTATGGACCGTCTGAGTAACTGCAGCACATCTAACATAGGAAGAGTCTGAGGAGAAAAGGAAGGATCAGGAAATCAATTCTGTTCACATAGAAGACAGCAGTGACTAAACAAATTAAAATGGTGAGAATTAAGATTGGAAAGGGAGTACAGTGCAAGGAGAGGGTTGGTAAATGGATCAGATGAAGCTGACTGGTACAGGTATGTAGAGGGATGTTTTTCTTCTTAGTGCAATTTATTAATTTTACCTGGTTTCGTACAGCAACTGCAGACTCTTGTAATTCCCCAGTAAGAGATTCTGTAGTTCTATAAGGTAAAAATGTCAAAAATCCCAGGAACTTTGCCAAGAGCCGAAGAGTTAGGAGAACTGAGGCAAATCGGATTTTTTCATCCTGAAACACAATATAAGGTTTTAGAGTATACTGTACTCTGGGTGTTCACTGTATAATATATATAATTGCGATTTAAAAATTTCCTTGGCTTTATTCAATAAAGAAGTACTAATTCTGAAGAGTAGTACCCCATGCCAACCAATCAAAATGTATTCTACTGAAGTCAGATCAGTATAAGATGAATATGTAATGGAGGTGAATCAACAGAGCACTCCTCGCTGAGCTCTGCAGTGTGTCATTTCAGTTCTCTGCCCCCTGAAAGCTTAGACAAGCTTTATACATTTTGGACTTGGAACAAATTTAGAGAAGAGAAGATAACAAACAGGTATAACTTATGTAGGAGGATTTGTTTCATCTCTGTGCACCAACTATAGTAAGTATACTGTATGTAAGGGTTTACAACCACTTTAAGCTGCAAGACGTCTGGTTACTCCATGTTTGATGTAAGCCACTAATGTGGCACTGTCCCGACTGAATCCAAATCAGGTGTCAGATGTCCTTGCAGTCAAGAGGTCCATCGTTGCAGGTTTCCATACCAGTAAGAAGACAGACTGGCAAGACTCCAGAGCTGGACTCTCGATGCCAGGGCAATTCCAGTGCTGTGGGTCAGGTGGATGTGACTGTCCAGAGACTCAACTCTCTTGTTCCAAGCAGCCAGAATGTGAGTTGCAATGGTCTGGAGCGGATTTGAGCATATAGGACTAGCTCAATAGAGGCTTCCATTAAGTCAAGACCCCTCATGCAAAAGTGGAGATTAAATTGGCTACAGGAGTCCATGTGTGCGATAGCATGGTCTGGTGTTTGTTTAGGGGAAGGAAATTCTTCAAAAGGGCTGTGTGCAAGGTCAAGCAAGGAGATGGCTCACGTGCTGATTTTTGGAGATTCAGGATCCAACCGAAGTGTGTTGGAGGCAGGCTGAAATTCCATCTTGTAGTTGGATACCATGCTTTGAACCCAAATGTCTCAGGACCAGATAGCTACAAAGGCCAGCAAACATTCCACTACTTTAAATGATGATGCCCCCCCATTGAGAGGAGAACTTGTTTGTGGAACTTGAGGATTTGGGGGTCCAGGCCATACAGCAGGACTGAGTTTCAGGCTTTGCCTTGGACTTCAGGTAAGAGAGAAATGAAAGGAACTCTTATACTGTATTAAGAGGAAGAGGGTTTTCCCAGTAGGAGGTTTAGCTTTCTTTTTCTAGGGCAGAAGGGTACCTTTCCTCCAATTAGTGGTGCACCGAAGGGAAAATTCTGGACCGAAACCGTAAATTCAGAATGCATTTGGTCGAAAACCAAAACCGAAATAGACAGTTTTTTTAAAAATATACACTATATTGCCAAAAGTTTTGGAACACCTCTCCAAATCATTGGATTCAGGTGTTCTAATCACCTCCTTGGCTACAGGTGTATAACATCAAGCACCTAGGCATGCAGACTGCGTCTACAAACATTTGTGAAAGAATGGGTCGCTCTCAGGAGCTCAGTGAATTAAAGCATGGTGATAGGTTGCCACTTGTGTAATAATGAAATTTCCTTGCTACTAAATATTCCACGCTCAACGGTTAGTGATATTGTAACTAAGTGGAAGCAACTGGGAACAACAGCAACTCAGCCACAAAGTGGTAGGCCAAGTAAAATGACAGAGCAGGATCAGCACATGCTCAAGCACACAGTGTGCAGAAGTCACCAACTGTCTGCAGAGTCAATAGCTAAAGACCTCCAAAACTTTGTGTGGCCGTCAGATTAACACAACAATGTGTAGAGAGCTTCAAGGAATGGGTTTCCATGGCCGAGCAGCTTCATCCAAGCCTTACATCACCAAGTGCAATGCAAAGCGCCAGATGCAGTGGTGGAATCTAGAGAAGTGGAGTCGTGTTCACTGGAATGACAAATCACACTTGTCTGTCTGGCAATCTGATGGACATGTCTGGGTTCGGTGGTTACCAGGAAAGCGGTACTTGCGTGACTGCATTTTGCCAAGTATAAATTCAAAAATATTTGCAAAACGCACTAAAAAAAAAAAAAAAGGAGTCACAAACACACATGCAAAAACGTAAAATGCACTGCAAAAAGGACAAAAACGCAAACTGCATTGGTGTGAAACAGGCCTGAAATGCATTGAAACACAGCAAAAACGCACACGTTGCAGTTTTAATTTTTTTTTCTACGTCATATGACCTATGAAAAATGCACTCTAAACGTGGTAAAATTGCACGTATTTGGCTGCCATTATCGGCACCTTTTTTTATATATCCGCAAAATGCCAATAACACTATTTTCGGAAGGTGATCGATGCATCCTTACCTCCAATTGTTCAGGGATTCACCAATCAGTTGTTGGAACAGGAGTTCAAAAGGCACTTCTTGTGCTGAAACTCTGCATGTCAACATTTGAGCCAAAACGTCCTCTGCATGTTTACGGAAAGTAGGCCTATTCTGAATATTTATAAAGTGAAAAAAAAACACATGTACTAATTCGCTGGTCCACAAGGATCTTGTCTGGCTGGGACATGTAGTACCATAGGGAGTAAGTGTGGCAGCTCTCCAAAAATTCTCTCCAAAGATATATTGATATATTGGACTGCACACGCTACAGAAGAGGATACCCCACTCCATCTTAGTTAACTACTATATTGCTGCTCATTGGAGTTTACCAGCCAAAGCATAATGCAGCTTGTCATGCTTAATTCAAGACCCATGGTATTAATACAGCCACTGATGATGTGAGTCAATACACTCCTATGACATTGCTGAAACTAGCCTTTGTGCACCTCCATGTTGGTGTGATTAGTTTACATAGTAATTATTATATCATGGCTTTGTGCGATTTTAGTCCTTTTTTGTTTTGTGCAGATATGGAAGAACTGGGTGATTTTTACTCTAATGATGCAAATGTATTCTACTCATACAGTATGACACATATTAGATTTGCATGTATGGTTTTTATGCACTTGTGTATGCTCTATGGACCATTTAGTATTTATCACATATTTGTAGCAATGTTTACAATTGGGTCCTCCATTCCCATCTACTCCCATATCTTTAAAAGGGCATCACTTGTGCTTGTTATCTCCGCCCATGGGTGGGTCTGGGATCACCCACCCACAGGATATTAGGATATATAAGAGAGGTTACAGGCACTATAGGCATTGGCTCTGAGGAAGAGGCAAGTCCTCGAAACGCATTAGCAGTTTGGAGGTCCAAAATTCCCATTACGGATGTTATCCAGCGAGACTTGACATTGCTGTCCTTTACATGATGTGCCTTTGACTTTATTGTCCATTGTGAGTATATTACCACTTCTTTTATTACAATAAATGTTTTTTGAAAGATAATGCACTAGGCCTGCGCACCCCGTTTTCTTTGGATACATCCCCCTTCCTCCCTGGGTTGTGTTCTATTGGGACGGAGCATGGCGCCAGCTAGTCCAGGCACACGCGCAGTGGCGGCGGGTGTGTTTTTCTCTCCATTGTAGCCGTCCAAAGCGAATCCACTTAATTCCAGTCTCTCATCTGCCACTTCTACCACCAGGGAAAAGCTGAGGAGTATTTTTTCACTTCATGCTTGAATGTTATCACATATTGTGAGTACAATGGTTTTGATCTTTTTATCATCTTAATAAATGGAGTTACACTACAGCGGATGTGTGCTCTGTTTTAAATTTTTTGTACTATTCTGGATATTTGATTAATAATATCCCCATGTCCCTCAACACAGTAAGGCAGGGCCACAGGCAAAAGCCAGTTGCTGGAGAACAAAAGTACCTTCAGGATAGAACCAGGATCCCAAGACATGGTATTGGACCAACAATCATTTCAAAAACAAGATTGACGCAATTCGTAGGGGCATCGCCACTGCACAGACAACCATCCCACTTAGCATACCTTAAACTAAACCTCCCTCAACACTTTCCTCTTTTGACCTTGCTACTACCGAAGAGGTCACTAAGGTTTTCTCTGAAGCCCGTCTCACCACCTGCCCCCTGGATCCTGTCCCCTCAAAACTACTACGGTCACCCTCTTCTTCCATCCTATGCTCCCTCACTCACATCTTCAATCTTTCCCTGTCTACTGGTGCCTTCCTCATCTCTCTAAAGCCCTTGCTGGACTCCTCCAACCTGAACAGCTTAAAAAGCCCTCACTGGACTCCTCCAACCTGAACAGCTTAAGACCCATCTCCCTGCTCCTGTTCACCTCTAAATTCTTAGAACGCTTAGTCTACAATCGCCTGAGCTCCCACCTCACTGACAACAACCTTCTTGACCCTTTGCAGTCTGGATTTCACTCACTACACTTCTTGACCACTCTGCAGCTTTTGATATGGTTGACCATCCCCTCCTCCTCAAAAATCTCCACTCTCTTGGCCTCAGAGACTCTGCTCTCTCTTGGTTCTCCTCCTACCTATCGCAGCGCTCCTTCAGCGTTACCTAGAACGCTGCCTCCTCCTCTTCACTCCCTCTTTCCGTAGGGGTCCCTCAAGGTTCTGTCCTTGGACCCCTTTTCTTCTCCATCTGCACCTCCTCCCTTGGTCACTTGATAAACTCCCATGGCTTTAAGTACCATATCTATGCTGATGACACACAAATCTATCTTTCTACCCCTCACCTCACCCCTTCAGTCTCCTCTCGCATTACTATCCTAAGTGACATGTCAGCATGGATGTCACTCCACTTCCTCAAACTCAATCTTTCCAAAACTGAGCTCTTAGTATTCCCCCCAGACCGTGCCCCCTCCCCTGACTTCTCCATCAAGATCAATAACACAATCATCAGTCCCTCCCCTCATGCCAGGGTACTAGGTGTAATCCTAGACTCCCATCTGTCCTTTCAGTCCCAAATCCAATCACTGTCCAAATCTTGAAGACTTCACCTCCGTAACATCTCCAAGATACGCCCGTTCCTAACCTCGGAAATCACTAAGCATCTTATTCACCCCCTTGTTATATCTCGCCTTGACTATTGCAACTCCCTCCTCATTAGCCTACCTCATCGCAGGCTATCCTTTCTTCAGTCTATCATGAACGCTGCTGCCAGACTTATCCACCTAACTGTTCTGTATCTGCCACCCCTCTCTGCCAATCCCTCCACTTGCTTCCCATTGCCCAACGGATAAAATTCAAAACATTAACAATAACGTATAAAGCAATTTATAACTCTGCCCCAAATTACATCACCGATCTTGTCTCTAAATATCACCCAAACCGTACTCTCCACTCCTCGCAAGACCTCCTACTCTTTAGCTCCCTTGTCTCCTCCTCCCATGCTCGTCTCCAGGACTTCTCCAGAGCTTCCCCCATCCTCTGGAAATCTCTACCCCAATTTATCAGACTATCACCTACTCTGCTCAATTTTAGGCGATCTCTGAAAACCTATCTCTTCAGGGAAGCCTATCCTGCCCTCAGCTAATAATGGAATCTTCTACTCTTCCTACCAGTCCATCCCCCACAGTTACTACCTTTTGTACCACTAGCCCCTCCCTCCTAGATTGTAAGCTGCAAGGAGCAAGGCCCTCCTATCCCTCTTGTATTGAACTGTATTGTTGCTGTATTGTCTCCCGTTATTTTGTAAAGCACTGAGCAAACTGTTGGCGCTATATAAATCCTGTATAATAATAATAACAATGGAAACAAAAAACAGCACGCTGAGAAAGATTGTAAAGCAGGATTTAACTGAAGAGCAAAAAGGTTTCACCCCCATGACAGCTCATTTCCAAGGTGTGACAAACACAAAGTGTGTATAAAACAATGCATATTGTTGCATTTTGCATGGATGGGTTAGGCAGTGCACCCATCCTTTACATGGATTACCTATGGAAGTTTGTGTGGAATGATTGGATTTATCGTTAATGTCCTTGGACCAGACAGCTAAGGATTGAAATTGCAAGGCAAAACTTACAAATGAAAATAGGGCCTTTCAACTCATTATGCACAGGGCCTTTTAAAGCAGATCTTTAGAATAAATTGAAAGTTGTTCTGACTGTTCCCCCCCAGCCTCTATTTAACTTGCAGCTTTTTGGGACGGGGGGGCAGAATGAGTACCTTTTTAGGACAGAACCACTCACACTGTCTCATGCGTAGGTCAGTCAACATACAATAAAACAAATGTACAGGGAAATTTTTGGCATTCTAGGGACTTTTTAAAGAAACATGGCTGATGACCATTGGTGAGGCAGATGTAGGCAGCTCCAGGTCAAGAGGTGCGCACTGCATCAATAAAGTGAATGTGCAGAAAAATAAGAGATGTAATTTGGAGGAGAAGTGCTCACTTGCTGTCCTTTTTTTCTGAGTCAGCCATCATGGCTATAATCTTCCCCGTAATGCAGACATAGTAGCACAGAACTCATCACTAGATAAGTATGAGAAAGGAGCCGCTACCCGTTATTTATAATGAAAAGTTATACAGAGAGTAAATTTGCAGAGGTCTTGAATAAAATCTGATTTTGTGGGTGTGGCTACAAATAGGGGGGGTCAACATCAATAAGACACTTACTTGCTCATCCATATCTGATTCACCATCTGTAGTCTCATGCCCCACAATGGAAAGGGCATCCAGCTCTTGTATTTCCTGACACAGACTGTCCATTAGGTGCTGATTAAACTGGTAGCTGCAAATTTAAAAACACAGGTAAAAAAGTGTCATCCAGCTGGAAGTATAAATAGGTTTTCTGAGACTTCCGTGGGAAAGTGCATACATTTTAGGGAAGTCAGTAGTGAAATAAATATGCAGGCAGGCTACCTTTCTGAAAATATTAAAACAAAAAGCATAGGAAAGGAAAAGAAAGCCACATATCTAGCAAATTTAGAAGGTTGTCAGAAATGACAGTATCTTTCAAGACAAATTCCTTTCAACCCCTTTATGCCCACAATTTATTAACATTTTCCAGCACGATGCAATGGCCTTGGGATATGTTAATAAATGTCTCCTCTTTTAAAGCCAGCAGCCCCGCTTTGAGAAGTATGCCAAGTGACAATTTTCTAAAACTATTTGATAAAGACTTACTTTCCTGCACTGAGTATGAAGTCTCTGAAAAATTCCTGGTACCCAGGAAAAGAAGGTGGAGGGCATGGGCCTCCAACACTTTGAGGGGCCACAAATCTTTCCTGCAGTCGTTTCAGTCTGTTCAGGTTGTCAGAGCCAAGCATGTTGAGTAGGTCCTGGTCAGGGTTATCACCAGCTCCAGCAGCACCCTTTCCTCCACTCGGTCCCTTACACAACTAACCAAATATCATGTGAAAAGACAGATTATTCAAGAAAAGTTTTACAAAGAATTAGAAATATATAATACTGACAAATATTCTGCAAATCTTTGTATTTTCATGCATTTCCTCCTGTGGGTTAAACATTAAAACTAATCACTCAAAATAATTTTTCTATTCTTGATTAAGATTTTCTAATGTATTAAAAAAGGAAGTGGTGGGGGAAGGGATAAGAGGGTACAGAGCAGTAAAACAAAAACAGAAAATGTTTCATTTAAGAGCATTATTTTACTTGCGTATTTACTTGTTTAGGCACCTTGCACACGAGCGTCATAATTTACTTTTTACTCAGGAACTTGTGATGTGCAAGGGGCCACAATAATGACAATGAAGAAGAATTTTGCTGATCTATACACTTACGCACCTTTACTCACCTATACTCACACTTTACACACAGTTTTTGTCCCCTTGTGCACGGGCATCACATGTTTCTGAGTACACATCAGTAAATTATGACGCACGTAAGCCGTAAGAGCTTTACAAGGTTTTGATTTCCTAGACCTTGGAAAGCTACATACCCACGGGTTGGAAGACATGGTGTCTTTCAAATTATAGATATATAGAGGTCCTTTACCAAATGTATGAGAAGGGAGTGTTTGTACCTTGCTGTTGGGATCAGGGTCAAATGGAGGAGAAAGGCACATGGCTTGTTGCAAAGATCAATATTGGCTAGTGAAAACAAAGATTACTTCATCCCAAAATGGGTTGAGTATAGGACAACCCCAAAAGATGTAGAGGAGCGTGCCAGTGTTTTGGTTGAGGATATATTTTGTGAAGAAGGGCTTGTACTCATATATATATCATCAAGAGAGTAGTTTAAAAATGACTAGTTGTATCCTACTCGCTACCAACGCTTTATGATTGAGGAAATTATGATCTATTTGTCTAGGAGAAAAAGACACTCTTTGTCTCACTTCAGATAGGTGGGAGTGAACCCTTCTGGTGGTGTTATTAGGAGAGCAAAAGAGGTTAATAACCCATGATGCATCAGTTCTGTCTCCAGGCAGATTGGCTTAAATGCTGAGAGAGTTTATGGTTTATCATACAGCCACTAAAACTGACTAGAAGGGGCTCCATAGGGGTAAGAGATGAGTTATTACTTGTTTAAGAATTTCTGTCCTGTACCGTCTATAAAATTTTGAAGGCGAGTGTGATTTGTCAGTAAGACAGAATGTTCTATCTGATATAACCGGTACAAATCCAGGGTGTCTTGTGACCGGAGTTAAGGTAGATGGGTTTAGGGTGATCAACTGGGGCTGTCCTGGGTTCAGGAGAGTTTTAAGGGCTGCCCCGATAAGTGGGTGTGATTTAATATCACTCAGGATTTCATCTGCCACCTGGGGAAGGCTACAAAGAGGTATTGTAGATTAAGCTTTTTTCTAAGTGGATCCATCATTTGATTTTTATAGTTTCTGCACAAGTCAAGTGCTCTAGGCATATGACACGCAAGACGAATTTTCATTTTTGGGCTGCCTTTCTGTCCAAACCATAAAAAATATGTGGAGTCCAAATAGTGTAGTTCTTTTCCAAAGTTACCAAAAATGGTGGAAAGTTAGCTGCCAAAAATAGAGTCTGGAATGGGGTAAAAAAGATACCCAAGTATTTAAAGTGATTCTAAAGGCTTACATTTTTTTAAGAAAAAATAACAAACATGTCTATACTTACTTGGCATGTGTAGTGGTTTTGTACAGAGCAGTCCTGATCCTCCTCTTCTCCCTCCTGTCGGGTGCCCCCACAGCAAGCAGCTTGCTATGGGGGCACCAGGTACTCCGTGTGTTCATTCACACATGGAGCTGTGGCTCGGCCCCACCCCTCTCTTCTCATTGGCTCTCTGGCTGTGATTGACAGCAGTGAAAGCCAATGGCTCCCGCTGCTGTCTCAGCCAATGAGGAGAGAGAGACCCGGGATAGACAAGACTTCAGTACACATCGCTGCATCTAGAGGGGTTTAGGTGAGTATTAGAGGGGCTGTTGCACAGAGAAGGTTATATATGTATGGTATATATATGCAAAGAATTTTCTCAATGGCTTTTGAAGAGGATATTAGTAAACCCACAGGTAAGATCTGGCATCTTTTGGTGTCCACTACATAGCTGTGATTTTATTACCTTTATGGTCACACAGGATCACTCTAAAGAAAAGTCCAAGTGTGTGACATCAAACTCAGCAAAACCAATACATGTGTTAATAAATGTCGAGCACTTCCTAATAATTACCAAAAAATGCAAATACTCATGACAAATGTCACAGTTGACTGAACTATGGAAAAGGAAAAACAAATCAATCACATTTTACCTGCACAAGTTGCTTCTGAAATAGTCTTGCAAAATGACTATGATTAGAAGCTAGAGACAAGTTTACCATCATGGCCCTGAGATAAAGGAGAAGATCAATGTTAATTGAGCAATATAATATCTAGCAATGTATTACAGCTATATTATTAAAACCACAAAACTAGCTTGCCATTTGGAAAATCCTACTGGTGGCTCCCAAAATCAAAGTGCAAGAAGCCCATTTATTAAAGTGCCCATTAAAACATACAATCTAAATTCCAACAATTAAAAAAAAAACAAAAAAAACCTATACTTAGAATGCTGACAGGAAACATCAGACATTCCTGTAAAATCATTGCCGACTTGATCGCAATGGCTAGCTGCCTAAGCACTTCTCTTGGTTCCCACACACCTCATTAGTGGCACAGAACATAGGAAGCATTCAGATTTGGCCATACACACAAGTCTGAAGCATCAAAAACAGTTCAGTTACAGTGGGGCAAAAAAGTATTTAGTCAGCCACCAATTGTGCAAGTTCTCCCACTTAAAAAGATGAGAGAGGCCTGTAATTGTCATCATAGGTAGACCTCAACTATGAGAGACAAAATGAGAAAAAAAATCCAGACAATCACATTGGCTGATTTGGAAAGAATTTATTTGCAAATTATGGTGGAAAATAAGTATTTGGTCAGCTACAAACAAGCAAAATTTCTTTCTCTCACAGACCTGTACCTTCTTCTTTAAGAGGCTCCTCTGTCCTGCACTCATCACCTGTATCAATGGCACCTGTTTAAACTTGTTATCAGTATAAAAGACACCTGTCCACAACCTCAAACAGTCACACTCCAAACTCCACTATGGTGAAAACCAAAGAGCTGTCGAAGGACACCAGAAACAAAATTGTAGACCTGCACCAGGCTGGGAAGACTGAATCTGCAATAGGCAAGCAGCTTGGTGTGAACAAATCAACTGTGGGAGCAATAATTAGAAAATGGAAGACATACAAGACCACTGATAATCTCCCTCGATCTAGGGCTCCACGCAAGATCTCACCCCGTGGGGTCAAAATAATCACAAGAACGGTGAGCAAAAATCCCAGGACCTAGTGAATGACCTGCAGAGAGCTGGGACCAACATAACAAAGGCTACCATCAGTAACACACTACGCCGCCAGGGACTCAGATCCTGCAGTGTCAGACGTGTCCCCCTGCTTAAGCCAGTACATGTCCGGGCCCATCTGAAATTTGCTAGAGAGCATTTGGATGATCCAGAAGAGGATTGGGAGAATGTCATATGGTCAGATGAAACCAAAATAGAGCTGTTTGGTAGAAACACAACTCGTCGTGTTTGGAGGAGAGAGAATGCTGAGTTGCATCCAAAGAACACCATACCTACTGTGAAGCATGGGGGTGGCAACATCATGCTTTGGGGCTGTTTCTCCTCAAAGGGACCAGGACGACTGATCCATGTACAGGACAGAATGAATGGGGCCATTTATCGTGAGATTTTGAGTGCAAACCTCCTTCTATCAGCAAGGGCATTAAAGATGAAACGTGGCTGGGTCTTCCAACATGACAATGATCCCAAACATACCGCCCGGGCAACAAAGGAGTGGCTTCATAAGAAGCATTTCAAGGTCCTGGAGTGGCCTAGCCAGTCTCCAGATCTCAACCCCATAGAAAACCTTTGGAGGGAGTTGAAAGTCCTTGTTGCCTAGCTACAGCCCCAAAACATCACTGCTCCAGAGGAGATCTGCATGGAGGAATGGGCCAACATACCAGCAACAGTGTGTGCCAACCTTGTGAAGACTTACAGAAAACGTTTGACCTCAGTCATTGCCAACAAAGGATATATAACAAAGTATTGAGATGAACTTTTGATATTGACCAAATACTTATTTTCCACCATAATTTGCAAATAAATTCTTTCCAAATCAGCCAATGTGATTGTCTGGATTTGTTTCTCATTTTGTCTCTCATAGTTGAGGTCTACCTATGATGCCAATTACAGGCCTCTCTCATCATTTTAAGTGGGAGAACTTGCACAATTGGTGGCTGACTAAATACTTTTTTGCCCCACTGTATCTACTGAATCCAAAAAAGATCACTGTAAAATGTCAACTCCTAAGCAGTAGATGGATCAAGAATGTTCCTAGCAATGCCCACTGGACTGGGGGGGGGGGTTAACACTGGGGGGGTTAAACAAATCCTCCTGTACCTGTTTATCTGCAGCCCTCTCATCTCTACAGCCATTAAACCCTGGTTCACACTGATGTGGTGCGTAATTCGCAGCTTTTTCAGTGCGAATTCTGCACTGCATCAGAATAGCACCTGTTCATGCAAACCACTATGGATGTGTATGTTAACAACACCCCGAAAGCAGTCCGCAAAATGCGGTGCGATGTGCAGAATCGGATCGCATAGGTGTGAATACCTATGCAATCCGATTCTAGTGCGGACACAAAAAAGGGTCCTGCACGTTTTTGGTGTGGTGTGTTTACAGCAATACAAAATGTATGGCTCCAATCGCACCGCACACAAATCACATGTGATTTGCAAAGGAATTCGGTGCAGTTCTTATGCGAATCACATGCGATATACCACACCGCACATGA